ATTAACATTAACATTAACATTAACATTAACATTGACTTTAAACAATTCATTAAAGATTATGGTTGTCAGTATAAAAAGTTAACATTAACGTTAACATTAACATTAACATTAACATTGACTTTAAGCAATTGATGTTTATTCATATGTTAATATTAATAATTAACATTAACATTTTTATGTTAATATTAACATTAATGAAATTTATTAAATTTTCAATGGTCTCATATAGAGCCTCTAATGTCTTATTCCAGAGTTTTATGGGACCTGCACTCTCAGATCGTCTGTAGATATACAGGATGTCCTGCGAAACATGACAGATAATGAATATAGTTTAGAAAGTCTTCTTCCATAATTTGTTAAGTTGTTTTATACCAAAGACAATAATAAGAATATTTTATTTAAGCAAAAAAAATGTTTTAACGAAATAAACTGCAAAAAGCCTTTGATATCTGATACAGTATATGGAAGACGACATTCATAAAAATTTATCCACATTCAGGTTTCGTTGGACACCCTGTATCTAAAATGAGATCCCACTGTACATACCTAAGATCCCTCTGTACATACCTAAGATCTCACTGTTCATACCTAAGATCCCACTGTACATACCTAAGATCCCACTGTCCATACCTAAGATTTCACTGAACATACCTAAGATCCCACTGTACAATACATACCTAATATCCCACTTCCATACCTAAGATCCCACTGTACATACCTAATATCACACTGTGCATACCTAAGATCACACTGTGCACACCTAAGATCACACTGTACATACCTAAGATCACACTGTACATACCTAAGATCACACTGCCAAGCAACAACCAGGAAAAATACAGCAATGGACCAAACTGTTATATGCATCTTTGTACTAATTCTTCCTAAACAGCATAATTTTAGTGATATGTTAATCTGTAGTTCAATGCAGTGGGAAATCTATGGAGAAAGGAGGACCGGACATCCCTGTTCCCCCTCCTTGGACAATTGAGAAGATATAAGACAATTACTTTCAAGTATTTCTCCATTTAAAACAAAAAGTTGCACGCCCGATTCACAACCCTGCCCCTTTAGCCTCAGTCGGAATTTTCCTGAATTTTGTTTTTTTGAGCTAAAAAGTGTAAAATTCTTTTAATTTCCTTCATTGTTTCAGGAGATAAATCTGTAGGTCACTTTAATATACAATGATGTAAAATAATTATTTTCAGCGAGCAAAAAAAGAAATCGTAGTAGGCATGCACACTAAACTTTCAATGGAGTGTAATTTGAAATTAAATCTTATACAGGCAAGGTCCCTTTAAATGGTTTAACCTTCCATCCATGGTTTAGGTAGTTCTTCTTGGAATAGATGTCCGAGCATGATCATCCCAATATATCCTAAAGACTGATCCTGTTCTGGGTATACACTCTTAGACGCTCGGTTCATCATCCATAGGGTTAAACTGAAAATATGTAGAAACTTGCTGAAGTGCCCAGCGTTGCCCGTGGATTTTTTTAACATCCAATTTGAAAAAATCGATTCGGTCCAGCCGTTTGGCCAACTATAGCTAACATATATTCAAATAAATAAATATGAGCGAAGAGCTTTATTACTCGACAAAGAGATTATGCATGATTTGAAGTGGTCCGGTCCATGCAAAGATATAAATAGTACCCTTAAAACCTTTAATTGTTCAATAAGTAAATATATAGCTCTTTGTTTAAACCCTTTAAAACCATTTTAATTCCAGTAAAACGCGGTGTACGCTGCGTACAGTGTGAACTCAACACAGCTGATTGTGATTGTACTTGTGTCCTTGGTGATTATAAAACATAAACTTTTTAAAATATTCTCAAGATGTTTCAATTCTCCTGAAATCTGGTCCAAGAACAAGAATTTTATTGATTATTAAATTAATATTTAAAAAAATTTAAATTTATAGATTTACCTCACAAATGCAATAGAGCAAAGGATAAAAATCCAAACTGTAGCAGTGAAGGTGTTGACGATGGTAAAATAGCTCACCCTTTCACGAGGCAGGGGGCAGGCTGGGTAACAAAATAATTTGGAAATTTACAGTGTTTAATCAAAATCTTTCAAATTTTAAGGGACTGATGATCATGAAAATGATGTTAATGATGATGATAATGTTAATGATGATTTTGCAGATGATGATGATGATGATGATTATAATGATGATCATGATCATGCAAATGATGATGATAATGTTAATGATGATTGTGCTGATGATGATCATGATGATCATGATGATCATGATAATGATGATCATGATCATGAAAATGATTGTGATGATAATGATAATCATGATCATGAAAATGATGATCATGAAAATGATGATGATGATGTTAATGATGATTGTGTTGATGATGATTGATGATCATGATAATGATGATGATCATGATGATGATAATGATGATGATCATGATGATCATGAAAATGATGATGATGATGTTAATGATGATTGTGCTGATGATGATGATGTTAATGATGATTGTGCTGATGATGATGATGTTAATGATGATTGTGCTGATGATGATGATAATGATGATTGTGCTGATGATGATGATGTTAATGGTGATTGTGCTGATGATGATGATAATGATACCTATTCTGGTTTGAGGTTGCCTAATTGGCAAATAAGCAATCTTATTGTAGTCCTTGTTATTTGCATAATCATACAAACTACTCGGAATTCCATACAGATAGATTTCCGTGTCACCATCTTAAAACAAAAAATTAAAGTTTTATATAAATTTTGGAATATTTTAAAAATGTTTTAAAACCTTCAATGGATTTGCAGGCCCCGGAGAAGCTTGTAGTGTACGCACTGTAGCATATCTCGGACATCTCTGTCATGTTGAAATCAAATCTACAGAAAAAAAATCAAATGATAAAAAATTAATTAGTTTCATAGTTTGAATCGATTGAAGTCTAAATTTTGCCTTAAACAATAACTATTAGAGCCATAATAATTTCTTTCAAAATAACCATAAGCTGGGATCTTTAGAATGGTGGATAACGAGACCAATTCTTGATTCTCTCTTTTTCTTAATCTCAAGACTAATATAAACTTGTACTTGTATCCTGAAAAGCTTTTAAAATTCAACCAATCAGAGTCGCTTATCAGAATCCGGGAAATTTGAAATTTTGCACGCTATTGAGGATTAGTATACAGAAACAGAAATTTTGAAAAACCAGTTTTGATTCATTTGTACTTTATCCAAAAAAGAGTAGATTAAATAAGAAATTAAAATTGTCTACATTGGATATTTGGATTAAGCAGTCTGAATAAAATGAATCCTATTCTAAAGTTCCCAGCTCAGAAGGATTTTACCAAAAAAATCGGTTTTCTTAATTTTAGTTTATTTCTGTACATTTGACAAGCGACCAACAGACCTTGTCAACCATTAATTACAAGACCCCCCCCGCCCATCCATGTAATGTCGTCTTTAACTTAAAATCCCCTCTCGGAGACACCAAACCAAATAATTTTCGCCCCACTTTCTTTGTCCTCCGGCATCGGAGTCTAAACATTTTTACTATTGTGAACAAAATATTTTCATATAAAGAATTAGTGAATTTCGTTAAAAATTAATTGTTATTCTTTTCAGAAGTTTTAATATATATAAAAAAAACGTCTTAGGACTCCCCGACAGAATTTAACCTTCTCATCCCCAAATAGATCGTAAGAATCTTTTCATTGTAAAATTATACTCTTTGTAATCAAATCATGCATTATTATCCATTTCATTTTTTTTAGGAAATAAAGAGTTTCTCTGCATTATCGATTTTGTTTTGAGGGTTATCCAGTTGTCTATCTGTTCATTATTGAGAATCTTGTTCCTATCCGACAACAGACCTACTTATAGCCAATGGACCAACAAGCCAACCTAACATATTATTGTTGTCGCACACCTACGTTTCTACAATAAAATATATCTAATTCATTCTTGATTAGACAAGGCTTAAAAGGGTACAGTTGTGAATTAGACACTCAACAGTCCACACTAGTATTTGTATAAATTAATTATACCCGAAGTAGTCTGACATTATGTATAGTTGGGTGATGAAGGGTCCTGTAGGAAGTAACTGTTTCTTTCCCCTGAACAATTGAATATATATACATTTTTCTCAAAAATGATTAAATTTAAAGATTGTTAAAAGTCAAATTTAAAAAAATGGTTGGTCAGCCTTTGCACATTAAAATATTTACAAAAAAAATTTTTTTTTTTTTCATACCTAAGATCCCACTGTACATACCTAATATCACACTGTGCATACCTAAGATCACACTGTGCACACCTAAGATCACACTGTACATACCTAAGAAAAAAAAATTTTTTTTTTTTTAAATTAGGAAAATTCCAAACGAGTATTATAAGTTATAATGTTTTTAAATAACTAAACTTAACTCTAAGTGTATAAAAGTTGGCATCCTGCACTGTTAAAGGAATTCTAAAATTGCTTTTCACATATTTTAACGAGCGGACAAATTGATTGCTCAAGTAGTTCTGTAGAAAGCTGTTTCTAATTTTAAAGTACAAAAGTAGCGTCAAGGTTTCTCATGATTGGCCTGGATATAAAGGTGGAACCATGTTTGTTATTTAAGATTTTAGATGGTTTTTAATACAGAAAAAACATTTATCAAGGACGAGAACACATTTATATATCAAATGAACAAACAGTAGGCCCCGTAAAACTGTGGAATATAAAGATGATATTTTATAAATATCTTTTCTGTATTAAAAATTGTTATAATACTAATAGTACTCAGTAGCTTAAAAATCAATTTTTTAAAGAAGATGGGTCTGTGTACACTTCACACTTGCCGATTCACATGTTCGTTGAACTATTGAACTTTTATAGATCCAACTGTACACTTTTGTAGCTTTATTACCTTAGTTTATCGTATCCCATATAACTAACCGGCCATAATGTAAATACTGGATATCTTCCGATTCTGAGGAACACGTCCTTCATGTCATTCATCTATATATATATATCAAGTTGTAATCTCTGTTTGCCTGCATCTTTTTCCGGTCATAACTCAAGAACCCCTGGACCGATTTGCCTCAAACTTTGATTGGGTAATCCGCGAGAAATCGTTTAAGTGCGGGTAAACGGCAGGAGACACATTTAGTAACCTGGGCAACGCTGGGTTCCCAGGCTAGTCTAGGATAAATCAATAAAATAATGTTAATCTTAGTTTTATATCTTTATATTATCATTGTTCACTCTGGACCAATGTTTTACGAACCGGTACAAGGAATTAATATATAGGAATTTCAAGTAATAATGACGTATATTAAAAATGACGCAAGCAAAATGTCCTAGAGCTATGTTTCTAACATTGTAAAGTTTTCATAACCTTAAGTGATACAAATTTCTCTCGTGGTAATCCTTTGATTGAACAGTAGTTGCTAACTTTCTCTCTTGCATTCCTAAGAAAGAAAATATTTGAATTATTTGAGGAATATTGGGCAATCAAGATGCTTTCCTTAAAGGGAGTGACCGGCTATGTAAGATAGTTGAACTGAGTATGCAGTGTTGTGGAAAACTTCTTTCGGATTCATTTGAGACATATTAAACTATTTAAAGATCTGTAAAGAAGTTTTCCACAACACTGCATACTCAGTTCAACTACCTTACTTAGCCGGTCACTCCCTTTAAACACTATAGAAAGTGGCACTGTTTCTGTAGCATAAGTACACAAGTCACTTCTTGAAGGAAACCACAATTGAAAATATTTAGTTTTCAAAGTTAAAAACATACTACGTTCATTCCACAAATTACGTTCCATTAAGTATTAGGCACAAGATGTATTGACGAGATTATTGTAAAGGTTGAATTATATTAATAACAAGAAGTATTTGAACTATGTATGGCGGGTTAAACTACAGTTAGTTTACCATGTGGTAGCATCATTATGAAGTATTTAAACTATGTATGGCGGGTTAAACTACAGTTAGTTTACCATGTGGTAGCATCATTATAAAGTATTGCATGTTTTAAAAGCAACTGGTTGCATCCTGGGAACTGAAGGTGGAAAAACTAAAACAAAAAGAAAAATTGACAAATAGTTGAAAACATTGAAAGTACAATGGAACTCATAAAACTAAGGAATAGAAAGGAAGACGACATTTAAGTATTTTTAGGACAAAAAGAATTAAGTTACGGATTGGAAACCTGTGTACACTGTACAATTAACAGTCGGTTTACTATTCCACATGTTTGTGAGTTCCATTGTACAGGGTGTCCCACGAAACATGATTGTTGGTAAATAGTTTTTAATGTCTTCTTCCATATATTGTATTAGATATTTTGTAGTTCATTTTGTAAAACAAATCTTTTACTCAAATATATTTTCCGTTGAAATTAATTTTACTTTAAAGGGAGTGACCGGCTATGTAAGGTAATTTAACTGAGTATGCAGTGTTGTCGAAAACTTCTTTAGGATTCATTTGAGACATATTACACTTTTTAAAGATCTGTAAATCCTGAGTTTGAGCGCAAATTTGACGCTCAAAACTCCTGATTTGGGGGTGGATACGTTTTCAGAATTAGTTTTTTTTTAATTATTAAATAACGACAACGAAAAATAAAGTAAAAATTATACAGTAATCTAATTAGATGGCTAGGAACATATTTCACAAAAGAAATTTAACAATAAATCAATGCTAAAATCGATTATTTCGTTTTCATTATTATATTGAATTTCTAATTTTCTTTGAATTTATTCGCAGATTTCTTCAAATTTTTTAAATGTCGTCTTTTCAATAATAGATATAGAAAATCTGCAAACATCTTTGTGAATAACGAGAAACTAGAATAATGAGAACAAGATTACTTATTTTCGATGATAAGATTAATTTTTATTTTCTCAAAATGTTCCTAAACATGACGTCTGTAGTTTATTGTAGAATATTTTTACATTTTATGTCGTCGTTAATTAATAATTAAAAAAAACTAATTCTATAAGCGTATCCACCCCCAAATCAGGAGTTTTGAACGTCAAATTTGCACTCAAACTCAGGATTTACAGACTTTTAAAAATTGAAATATGTCTCAAAGAAGTTTTCCACAACACTGCGTCCTCAGTTCAACTACCTTACATAGCCGGTCACTCCCTTTAAGATGACTCCCATACAATATTTTTTATTATTCTCTTTGGTATTAAACATCTTAACAAATTATGGAAGAAGACATTTTAAACCATTCACCAACTGTCATGTTTCGTGGGACACCCTGTAAATGTTTTTTGAAATTATGTTTAGCCTGCATGTCATCTCTTCTTTCTACAAAGATTCCTGCCACACTACTTTCTAAAAAAAATGTTCAGGGTTACCCACAAAGAATAAGATATTAACGCCGACCATAAAGCTATGTGAAACTAAAGATCTGAGGTTTAAGTCTATAGGTTTTCCTTGGATAAAGTGTACTAATAAAATATTTAATGTTTTTACAACAACAAAATAACAGTTTACAGCTGTAGGAAACCACGAATTTTTCTGAAAAAGAATGTCTAAATTCTGAACTGTCGTTTCTGAAGTCTTATTCTTTGTCGGTAACCGTTGTATGTATAAACTAAAATTTGTTGCATATTTTAATATTAAAATAAGTTGGATTATAAACATATAAAAGATCTACGTATATTAAAGAAAATAAATTATATTCTTTTTCAATGAAAATCTAAATTTTCATTGAAAAATCAATTTTACTTATCTTTTTAAACTACAAGATATATTTTCTAAACTAAATATTAAAATTCATATATTTCTATTTGTATCAAATACCTATGAATCCTTGCATCTCCTTAGAATTTCCAAACTGTAGAAAGATGCAGAATAGTTCACTATTTGCAGTGCTAAAAAGTACAGAGCTGTCATTTATTGACAATAAAAACAAATGCTTTACCGCATCTATCGTTTATACACACATGAAAATATATATATATATATATTTTCAGTATATATATACATACATTATATATATATATATATATAATATGTATATGCAATATTTATATATATATATATATGTATGTGTATGTATATATATATAAATAAATGTATTGATGTCTGTTGGCTAGTTTCCAAGGGGGAATTTGACCTGGCATGACAAATGTTGCTTCTGATTTTAAAATATCTTTAAAATCCACCCTGGATGGAAAACAAAAAAATCTGCAAAATCTCAAATTGTCACTTTCTGATACTATAGGAAGGGAAAATGTTTTCAAAGGACTAAATGTGTTGTTAATCCTAGGAGTAAGCGAGGTATCTTTTGTTGATTAAGTAATAAGTTAAGTTCTTTATAAGTTTAGGGATCAAGTACTATGGAAGGGTTTTAGATTAGCGTTCGCTCATACAAAAGTTTTGACCTAAGGTGCAAATAAAATTTAAAAAGTATAATTTTCACCTTGTTGGTCGACATTTTGGAGTATTCGTCACATCTTTGGAAACAATCACCTTATTAAAAAGGATCAAAATAACAATAATAACTAAATCAATTCTATTTTTAGTAAATGTCGAAAATTCAAATAAGATAAAAGTAAATGTCGAAAATTCAAACGAAAGAAAACTACTTTTATTACAAACATTATTGGTAAATAAACATAATACGTAAAAGTGTTCAAAATTCGAAAAATAGTCCAGGGCATACAAATGTTTTAAATTGGATACTTTTAAAGTTTCAAAAAGAATTTTCCAGAATTACGCTTCCCTCCCCTCTCTACCTGACAACCATTTGTTATGATGTGCGTAAATCCGAAAAATCCGGGAATTTTCATCATCCAATTCAACTCCTTGATTAAAAATTTATTTGTTTTGAAGAAAACCGAATTTAAAGTGTCAAATGCATTTATTTATTATTATTTAATAACTTTTAAGTGTTACAGTCGTTACAGCGTACAATGATATGTTCGTAAAAATATATATGTGTGTTTATTTTATGTTTACTTTTCAGTGCATTTAAGACAGCCTTTTCAAGTTTTTGCCACGCACTCCAATCCCTATATCTTTGCAACCTCATGGTGTAAACCTTGAATATTTCAATATTAAACTGTTTGATATTGATCGTACAGAAAAGTAGTAAATATCAAAGGACTAACGACATCGTAAAAACGTAATAATACTTTAGGGTTGGCTAATAAACATTTATCTCTTCATTACAGAGAGATAGTGGGATGCAATAATATAGGAGGGAAAGTTACATTGTAATGTAATATTCCCTCCTTTATTATTGTATTCCCATTGCGTCATGTGAATGTAGAAAATGTAATTGGTGAAACTTTTTTACCCTAGGGATGCAATTAGGGATGCAATCAGGGATGCAATTACATTGCATCCCTGTTTTCGATAGTGTGCTATTTTTTTACAGATGGTTAAAAAAATTCTCGGATCATAATAAATTTGTGTAAAAAATTTTATTACACAAATTAAGTATTTAAAAAAAATATTTTGAAATTTAGCTTTTTTTTATACAAGCTTATTATATACCTCGTTAGACCATGAACCCGCTGTGGTGAAGACACATCTTGAGTCTTTATGAATAAAATTCTTCAGAAGATCTGTTCCCTGAATTAACAGAAATAATGTTGAAAATAATAATAAAAATAATAGATATACTTAAAGGATATTATTCATTCATAACACTTACCAGCTTCAAGTCCATAGGAACAGAAGGAGGTTTCAAATTCTATTGAAAAGATTTTGAAATTTTCATAAAGGCAAAAAATAGTAAATTCAATTTCTCAATAAAATGTTCATGCTAAAGAAAATTTCCTAATTTTGGGAGCTGTTGATAAAATTTCATGTACTCCTTTATAATAGGCCAAAAAATGGATAGTTTTCAATTATTAGAAATTAATTTATTCATTTTAAAAACAGAAAAACAAAGATATCTTCATCTTCTTACTTAGATAAAGGTTTAACGAATATTGTTGTGATTTGTGCATAAATGTTCAAATTATGCGGAAACTCTTCTTATCACCCATTATAAGCTTTATTTCTTCCTATCATTTTATCTGCTATCAATTCAAGTGTCATGGCTTTAAACTCTATTTCCTTGAAATGTTTCCTTGAAATAGGGAATGCTAAATGCCCATATAAGGTAACGTTTGTCTTGTATTGACCGGCACAATAGCTCAGGTCAGAGGACAATAAGTCTCCTAATACAGACTGGATATAGAGGTAAGCTTGGCAAAGTACCAGATACTTTAAGCCTATATATACAGGTTCAGGAGAATAACAGGTCATATCATTGATATCCTTCCGTGTTTCAACATCCCAGAAACAACCAGGAAAACACCAAGATGTGTGACGAGGATGTTGCAGCTCTTGTCGTAGACAATGGATCCGGAATGTGCAAAGCTGGATTTGCTGGAGATGATGCTCCCAGAGCTGTCTTCCCTTCCATTGTCGGCCGTCCCCGTCATCAGGGAGTCATGGTTGGTATGGGACAAAAGGATGCCTATGTTGGAGATGAAGCCCAGAGCAAGAGAGGTATCCTCACCCTTAAGTACCCTGTTGAGCACGGAATCATCACCAACTGGGATGATATGGAGAAGATCTGGCATCACACCTTCTACAACGAGCTCCGTGTTGCCCCTGAGGAGCAGCCTGTCCTCCTGACTGAGGCTCCCCTCAACCCCAAGGCCAACAGAGAGAAGATGACCCAGATCATGTTTGAGACCTTCAACATGCCCGCCATGTATGTCGCTATCCAGGCTGTCCTCTCCCTGTATGCCTCCGGTCGTACCACCGGTCTTGTCATGGACTCTGGAGATGGTGTTTCCCACACTGTTCCCGTCTATGAAGGTTATGCTCTCCCCCATGCCATCCTTCGTCTGGATCTGGCTGGTCGTGAACTGACCAACTACCTAATGAAGATTCTGACTGAGAGAGGATACTCTTTCACCACCACCGCCGAGAGGGAAATCGTCAGGGACATCAAGGAGAAGCTGTGCTATGTCGCCCTTGACTTTGAGCAGGAGATGTCCACCGCTGCTGCCTCCACCTCCCTCGAGAAGTCCTATGAGCTTCCCGACGGTCAGGTCATTACCATCGGTAATGAGAGGTTCAGGTGCCCTGAGGCCCTCTTCCAGCCTTCCTTCCTGGGAATGGAGGCCTGCGGCATCCACGAGACCACCTTCAACTCCATCATGAAGTGCGACGTTGATATCCGTAAGGACCTGTACGCCAACACCGTCATGTCCGGAGGTACCACCATGTACCCCGGTATTGCTGACAGAATGCAGAAGGAGATCACCGCCCTGGCTCCCTCCACCATCAAGATCAAGATCATTGCTCCCCCTGAGAGGAAGTACTCTGTATGGATCGGAGGATCCATCCTGGCTTCTCTCTCCACCTTCCAGCAGATGTGGATCTCCAAGCAGGAGTACGATGAGTGCGGACCCTCCATCGTTCACCGCAAGTGCTTTTAAATGTTTTGTCTATAATTCTAACAGTTTGAAATGCCAAACATTCCGTAATGTATGCAAAGAAAAAATGAATATTACAAATAAATCTTTTAATATTCGATATCCATCAATCTCTCTGTTTATGAAAAAATTTATGACTTTCAATTGTCAATTTATGATTTGATATATTTGATATGAGAAAATAAATCTTAATCTTTCCTGATTGCTAATTGAAGCATCTGAGAACCCACTGAGGCAAATTAGCAGTAGATGTATTCTTAAAAAATATTGAAACATGGGAAATGTTCTACTTGCTCATAAACATTGTGTCCCACAAAACATAAGTAGACCATTTTCTCAAATTATATTTCTTTGTGTTAACAAGGCTACAAGAAATTTTTAACTTCAACTAAATATAAATTTGTCTACACATCCTATACTTTTTCTAAAGTTAAAACAGTTTAAGAGATTTAAAGCTATTTTTTGATACACATTATGTCTTTTATCAAAGACCTTAATAACAAATGTAGTTATTGTTCACGAGAAGGAATTCTAAACACTTGACACAAAATCCACCAAATTTCGATAGACTTTCACTTTACAATATTTTATACTTAGACTTTTAAATAACAGAATTCATAGTCTAATTCCAACTTCTACGATTATAGGTTACATAAATATAGGAATTAGAAAATTAGAGTCTTTAACCACCATGAAAAATTTTTTTCAATTTTAATTTCTTAAATTCTAACAAAATTGAAAAAGGTTTTAGTAACAAACTCTGATTTTCTAGTCCGTCTATGCAATCCAATGTCACAGATCTTAGATATTTAAAACTATTTATTCTGTTAGATTAAATAATCTAAGTTTAAAAAATCATATTTTAACATTATCAGGTTGGAAAGATATGGGGATTAGAAAATTTGAGTTTGTGGCAAAGACTCAATTCCTTTTCAGGCTAATCATAAAAACTTTCCTTTTTCTTTCATTGTTTTGATCATCAACTTCAAACCTTGTTTTTAATATTTTCATAAAAAGTACTAACCTCATAACTATCTGAAGGTTAGCTGCAAACAAGTCAAATATTGCGTGGGATTCCTTTTATACCGTGATATTAATCAATTTATGAATTATTTAGAAACTTAGTAATTAATAACAAACAAAGAAATATGCTGTTGTTGCAAATTGCAGTTAGGGTTTTCACTCGCAAAACTTTTGCGGAACGAAACGCAAAATTTGTCTTTCGTTGCGCATCAGTTTTGGGCGAAAAAACAGCAATTTGCGCAATCATTCGCAAAAGTCATTACGAGCAAAATTTCCCTATTCCGCTTTTTTGCAACTCGAGTTTTGCACGATTCCGCAATTCCGCAATTTTGTTATTTAATCATGCGTGTGTATTTCTTGAAATTAAAATGTTTTTACCCGGTATCTAATTCTGGATAAATCTGTGTTTGGAATATCTTCCTATCGGTCACTTTAACCTGATTTACATATTTGACCAATGGCCTTCTAGAAGGCCACTTTTTTATAAATGAAGCCTAATCAGACTTGCATTTGTAGCCCTAAGGCCACCTTTTTTGAATTATTGGCCTAAAAGTAGACTTTTCATCAAATGACAAGTTTTTTGATTCTTTTTAATACTTTTTCCCCAGAAACTCAGCAAATAAAACTATAATTTTTTTTGGCGCTCCGCGCAAACATTACTCAATATATAATCAACAAATATCTCTAAACCATACCAAAGACTAAGCATGGAAAAATAAGGTTCTTTAATATAAATAAAAAAACTTACTTCAATTTTTATTTGCTGTACATTCAATTTGTTATTAATTTGTTCAGATAAAATGAGTGATATTAGTATTAAATTATTAATAAATATTAATATAAACATTAATATTAAAATTATAATTATTTGAAAAATAAAGTGCAAATTTAAGCATTAAAAATTAGCCTAAAGAGGACTAAAAGTAGCTTTAAAAAATATAAATTTAGCCTTGTCCTTCTATTAAAACCTGGTGACCCAAAAGTCTAGACAGGTTTAGCTTTGACCACGCCTTCTTCTTTTAAGTTGATTCTTTAGACATTGGATACTTTCTTGCATATTTGGGATTAAAAAGATTTCGAAAATTTGATCATTAAAAATATAATCCTTACGTTAAGGGTACCGTTGTGAATTGAGCATTGTAATCTTTGCATGGAGGGTCACTTGAAATTAGTTTAAATATTACCAAATTTCTCATTCTCTCAATTTCTATTTGATTAATTTTGGTCCTTTAATTTGAACTTTTTGAGAGAAGTCAAGTCATACATTTTTTGTTAATAATTATTTGTTTGTAATAGTTGAATAAATCTTTAGTTGCTTAATTCTGTGCTTAAAATTTTCGTCAATTTGCTTAAAAATTTACGTTTTGCGTAATACTTCCGGTTTTGCGTGAAATGTTTTTCGTTTCATGCGCAAATATTCGCCAAAAAAATATTTCCGTTTCATGCGCAAAAATTGCGCAAAAGTTCTTTTAAAAAATGTTGCACGAAAATGGCGAAAATTTACGCAAAAATAGGAAAACCTATTTGCAGGCCAATAAATGTCAACATTTTAAAACTTATTATTTAATTATATTTTGCAACTTTCTAGAACTGCGTAGTGCATACTGCTTGTTTATTTGATTCCTCATTTTTCACAATTAAAACAACATTTGTATACAGTGAGTACCAGAAAACTCTGGGGTGGGAAGACAACTTTAGATACAAGTTATGACTTTGAATAGTACAATGAATATTTGCTACAGAAGGTGTGCAGAGTAAACAGACCTGTTTCACTTAATTAGTGATTTAATATGAATTACTAGCTAAACCATTTTCCAAAAAATAACATCAAATACTCTTGATACTGCTTAAATGTCGTCTTAGTATTCAAATCTTAAATACACAAATATTTTTTTATATAAGGCCCGATAAAATAGCTTAGTGTTGTGTGTAATTAAGTGAAAGTAAGACCAGAGTTTAAAATTTATATAGTCTCAAACGTATCTCAAGACTTGAGCCTCATTTTTAACCCCCGCCCCCCTTTGTTTTGGCTTTAGAACCCAATTATTTTTGGTACTGTCATCAAGGGTGCACCTTTCAAGGGGTCGGTGTTTTAAAAAATCTAAATTATCCCATAACTTTCTTAAATTTTTGCGCTACAAAATCAAAAAAAACCAAAACCCCCACCCACACACCACCCACCACCCCTATAGGCCTTCTCTTCCGAACAAAATATATTTTTTTAAAATTTTGTTTCCGCTCCGAAAATCTCAATAAAGTTTTTTATGACCCCTAACTCTATCATGATAAAGGTCTTCGAAACATTTTTAACTTTATTTTCCGGGAAAAAAAATTTCCGGCTGCACTATTTGTAGGAAACGTTTAATATCATTCTTAATATTTAATATCGTAAAAGTCTTAAGAAAACACGTCATTTTAAAAAGTCAAATCAAATGTTAATTTGTGACAATTTCCGTTTATGTTTTAATGTAATTTCGATGGTAACATTTCGTTAAAAATGAAAATAAATATATTTCCGATTCGTCACAACTTAAAGGGAGTGACCGGCTATGTAAGGTAGTTGAACTGAGTATGCAGTGTTGTGGTAAACTTCTTTCGAATTAATTTGAGAAATATATAACTTTTTAAAGATCTGTAAATCCGGAGTTTGAGCGCACATTTGACGTTCAAAACTTCTACTTTAGGGGTGGATACGTTTTCAGAATTGTTTTTTTTAATCATTAAGTAAAGACGACAAAAAATGTAGACAAAATTCTACAGTAAACTAATTAGTTGTTTCGGAACCGGTTGAGAAAATAAAAATTAATCTTATCATCGAAACTAAGTAATCTTGTTCAATGATTAGTTTCTATTTTCTCATTATTCTAGTTTCTCATTATTCACAAAGATTTTTAAGAAATTTAATAAATCTATGAATAAATTCAAAGAAAATAAGAAATTCAATATAATGATGAAAACGAAATAATTGATTCTTGCATTGATTTATTGACAAATTTCTTTTGAAAAATATGTTCCCAACCATCTAATTAGATTACTGTATGATTTTTACTTTATTTTTCGTCGTCGTTATTTAGTAGTTTAAAAATCCGATTCTGAAAACGTATCCACCCCCAAAGTAGAAGTTTTGAACGTCGAATTTGCGCTCAAACTCAGGATTTACAGATCTTTAAAAAGTTTTATATGTCTCAAATGAATCTGAAAGAACCTATCCACAACACTGCATACTCAGTTCAACGACCTTACATAGCCGGTCACTCCCTTTAATAATTTAAAACATGATTAGTTTTTGAACCGACGAAAATATTTCTTGGAAATATGAATCTACTAGCTGAAGTACCCGGGGTCGCCTGGAGAATTAAAAAAAAAATAAAAAATAACAATCTTGAAAAAACAACTAATTTTTTCAGCCTATGCTGCCCAGTGTCCCTGGGATACCATTGGGTCCCTTAAAATAATTTCACCCAATACATATATAGCTTATACATAGCTTATATATATAGCTTATACATAGCTTATATATATAGCTTATACATAGCTTATATATATAGCTTATATATATAGCTTATATATATATGTAAAGGAATTGAGTTTTTGCCACAAATCCCAATTTTGTAATACCTAAATCTCAACAACCAGATGATGCAAACCTTTCATATTTCAAACTTATACTGTTTGATCCACTAAAATTCATAGTTTGAAATACCTACGGCCTACGACATTTGGTTTTAAAGAAATTGGGATTTAAAAATCCGAGTTTGTGGCAAAGACTCAATTCCTTTACAAAGATAATTGACAACGCAAAAAGTTCCTAACTTAATCCCCCCCCCCTTTAATCCTGAAAAGATACATTCTCCAAATTAATTAGAATTATTTTAACATTATTTTATTTTAACTAATTAGAACTTGAAAACTGATATTAAACAAAACAATGTCTCTCTCAAATAAATATATCCATTTAAAAACTTTGCTTTTAAATTTTACTTTACCTCCAATAATTTTTCTTTATCAATTATATTGATAAAAACATTTCAATATTTTGCATAATTTTTTTTATTGGTGGATTGCCATCAAAACAAATTCAGTGGAAAAACCAATACAAAGAAACCAAGAAACAGTTCTATAATAAATTCAAATATGTCTGAATAATGATGTATATATTGAGATTTCTACACCCTGTATTAAGAAACGTAATTATTTGAACGCTGTGTTATGAAATGCAGTGTATCCTCACCCTGTATCATGGAATGTAATGTTTCCGCACACTGTATCATGAAATGTAATGTTTCGCACCCTGTATCATGAAATGCAATGTTTCCGGACCCTGTATTATAAAATTTAATGTTTCCTCACCCTTTATTATTATATGTAATGCATCTGCACCCTGTATAATATAATTTAATCTTTCCGCACCCTGTATCATGACATGTAATATTTCTGCACCCTGCATTATGAAATGTAATGTTTCCACTACCTGTATTATGATATGTAACGTTTCCACACCCTGTATTATGAAACGTAACGTTTCCGCACCCTGTAGTATGAAATGTAATGTTTCCGCATCCTATATTATGAAATGTAATGTTTCCGTACCCTGTGTTATTAAATGTAATGTTTCCGCACCCTGTATTATGAAATGTAATGTTTCTGCATACTCTATGATGAAATGTAATGTTTTCGCACCCTGTATTATGCAATGTAATGTTTTCGCACCCTGTATTCTGAAGTGTAATATTTTCGCACCCTGTATTATGCAATGTAATGTTTTTACACTCTGTATTATGAAATGTAATATTTTCGCACCCTGTAGTATGAAATGTAATGTTTTTGCACCCTGTATTATAAAATGTAATATTTTCGCACCCTGTATTATGAAATGTAATGTTTTTGCACTCTGTATTATGAAATGTAATATTTTCGCACCCTGTAATATGAAATGTAATGATTTCGCACCCTGTAATATGACACGTAATATTTTCGCACCCTGTATTATGAAATGTAATGTTTTTGCAACCTGTATTATGAAATGTAATATTTTCGCACCCTGTAGTATGAAATGTAATGTTTTTTGCACCCTGTATTGTGAAATGTAATATTTTCGCACCCTGTATTATGAAATATAATATTTTCGCACCCTGTATTATGAAATGTAAAACCTCGAATTTAATGAAATAAAAACAGTTAAACTATGACAAGCTTACTGTTTACAATACTTGGCTTGTGTTTCCATACTTTAATATCAGGCAGGTATTTTTATTAAATTAGAAATTTTACATTTTTATAATCTACATATATGTAGAGATGGACACGTCCGACTTTTTTAATTTTGTTCGTTTATCGTTCGTGAACGACCCATTTCGTTCTTTTTTTTCAGTTTTTAATTTTAATTTTTAGTTAATTTTTAAATTATTGTTCATGATCCGTCTATTTCGTTCGTTTTCTGACGGAATGATCGTTCAGTGAAATCGTTTTTTCAGTAAAACTGTTTTTTCAGTAGCATCATTTGATCAGTAAAACCGTAAAAACAGTAAAAACGATTGTTCAACAAAAAAACATCGTTATTTGCCGGTTAAAGTTTTTGTTCGAAATATAAAAAACGTTTTTCATCTAAAGCAAGATAATAAAATTATTACTTAAAGGGACTGTAACCCGTAATTTTAAACCTTCATTTGACATTAATGATGTGGAAGATAACGTCGTTTTAATTCTGGTAATTTCTCCATTGTTTTCCTCCAGTAGAATAATGCGCGAATTACTCTGTAGAAAACCACAATCGAAAATAATCGGTTTTCAAGATTATGAATTTAAATGGATTAGGATTACAGACCCGTGAAGGGGGGCAAAATATAACACATTGGAAGCCTCAATCTTGTTTGCTAGTTTATTATTACAGTTTTTAAAACACCTCTGAAAGTAAAATAAAAACTTTTAAAAAGCAAAAAGGAAGAAAGAATTAAAAAAAAATAGAATTGATTAAAGTGACAATGATGGGAACGCAGACATATTAATGAACATTTAAAATATTATGTACAGTCCCTTAAAAATATTTGTACAGTCGCTTTAAAATATTTGTACAGTCCCTTTAAAATATTTGTACAGTCCCTTTAGAATATTATGTACAGTCCCTTTAAAATATTATGTACAGTCCCTTTAAAATAAATTTTTAGCTCCGGACCCTGGAGACCATTTCTTGGTGAAGATGAAAGATGGTTACAAGGTAGAGTTATTAATTTTCAGTTTTATTCAAAATTCGAAATCAAACTTTGGAGAATTGTCTACAGTGCAGAGGTCGGAATATCAGATGGCGCTAATCCAATTTATGCCCGAAATGGAAATCTACAACGGATTTAATCCTTTCAAACAGCTGACTCGTATATTTTAACGATCTCTCATTGATAAAGGGAAAAGAAATTGAGTCTTTGCCACAAACTCTGATATTCTAATCCGGCCCTATATCTTTCTGATCAAATAATATAAGTTTGAAATATCAAAGGTTTACACTCTTAGGTTGCAAAGATATAGGGTTATGCAAATTTGAGTCTGTGGCAAACACTCAATTCATTTAATTTGGCTTCCATTTGATTGGACCGTTAAATATGGTCTTAATACAATTTAAATAATCTGTTGCACTTCTCAAGATTACGAATTAAAAAGTTCCAACCTACAGTGTGTTTTCGAATAAAACTAAAAATGTTTAAAATTACCCCTTTCTCACTTTGCCGTTATTTTTGGGCAGACAATTACTTGGCAACGATATATTGCATATCTTCTACCACTGAATTATGCAATTGCTTTGAAAACATCAACGTAAAACTTTTTCATTTGAACATAGAAATTGTTTGAATTTGAACAAATTGAAAAACATAATTTGTTAAATGCCATCCTTGAAACTTGAGGAGGTTGGGATATCCTTTGGAACCTCTTGTACACAAAATCATTTTAAATTTTAATTCTGCATTTGCATAATTCAGTGAAACACATTAGATATACTTCTGTTAACTTTATTCATGACACAAATTACTTTAAAGTTTTTATTTAGAATTTTAATTTAATCATCAAAAGATTCGTTCAATTAATAATTAAGTATTTTGATTTGTTTACAACAAATGACCTTTTATTTGGTGATTTCTATCAATTATGAAAAGGCGAAATATTAATCGTAAACATTTAGCTTTGATAAAACTGCAAAAAATGCATAATTTATAAAAACTCTTGACTTTACAGAGAAACTGATAGGAGAAGACTTTATGCAAAAAATGTTTTTTTTTATTTTGGGAAGTATAAAAGGAATACATAGCTCTGGGAAAAGGTTTACAAAAAAATATAGACTGTAAAAAAATGATTGTTTTCCAGTAGTTGTACTTTGCTCCCTTCCCCCCCTTTTTTGGGCTAACAAGAAAGCCGATATTAATGTGTATTAACATGCTTGATCCGAAATCAGAATTAATAGATATAACAAGAAGCCTAGTTCAACTAATTCTATCTGTTCATTAAATCTGAGTTCTTAATAAATTTTTTTGATACAGCTGCTAGAGTTGGAAGATGGAGAAGGTTTAGAAGGTCTAAAAGGTATTTTCAATTTTCGCTTTTTTCCAAAAATACAAAATTCGTTATTCACAAAATTAATAAAAAAAACATTCACACATTCATTCCACTTATTTCCTTGCTTTGATAATGTTTGCCGCAATTTTCATGAAAATCTAAAGCCTTCAATTTTCACAGGATTAATTTTTTTTATAAAAAGCTATTTCACTTCTTAAATTCAGTTGTTGAGTAATTGAGTTTCTGTCACAAACTCAAATTTTCTAATTTCTATATCTTTGCAACCAAGTATCGTAGACCTTTGATATCTTAAACTATAAATTATGTTAGATAAGATATAAGGATTAGAAAATTTGACTTTGTGACGAAAACTCACTTCCCAATCAAAATTGTCACTTAAAGTTTGTGATTAATATCAAATCAAATCAAATAATCAAATCAATTATTTCTGCAGAAAAAAAAAATATTTAATTTTAACAATGGATGGCCTTGCCCAGACGACAAGCTGCTCAATGAATATTGTTGTGCAATAATATTATATGATTTTGAAATTTCCTGTTCCCAAATTTTTTAATGAATTTAGATTCTACCTTTCACTAGAGATCTCTCAAATCTGTTGGTTCTACAGATTTGATAAAAAGTATAGTTCAAAGGAAATAAATCTTTGCCACAAACTCAAATTTTCTAAACCCTATAGCTTTGCAACCTGTTGGTGTAGGCATTTGATATTACAAACTTAGATTATCCTATCTGTATAGAACCTAGTTTGAAATAAGTAATATCTACAATATTGGGTCGGGAAGATATGTAGTAAATTTTGTCCCAAACAGTATCAGTCCAGGTACAACCCATCCACTATCAAATAATATAAAGGAATTAGAAAATTAGTGTAGTTCTGATTTGATCATAGAACTCAGACGTAGCTTATTATGTTTCTTTATAGTCATGACTCATAACTGTTTTACTATTTAGGTTCAGCTGAATCAAATAGTACATCTTCTGATTACAACATTTCACCATCTGATTCCGACAGTAAGTCAGCTGAGTCCGACATTAAATCAGCTGAATCCAACAGTAAATCAGATGTAGAGTCCGACATTACAGTTGATTCTGGTGAGCCTAATATTGCTGATGGAGTAGAGTCAATGGATGATCTATTTAAACCAAGCGGCGATCCTGGAGACTATGCTGATGATGGTGGTATAGAGGTAAAAAATCAGAGAATTCGGATGAGAGGCGTTTTCTCTCCTAATGATAATTCATAAAGTTACATTAACCTATGTCCGAATTTAATCAATTTAAGTCGTGTCTCAAATCCCCCAAAAACCGGTTTCAATTGAGCACCGGCTTAAATCTTGAAAAATTTAAGTGGAACCAACAAAATTTAAACCGTGGCTCAAATTCTTTAAATTTGGCCTCTAGTCTATCTTACAATTTTGGTTGTAAACGTAATTTTTTGGTTTCAAATCGTATATAACTTAGTTGTTGTAAGATTGGGTACGTTTTAAGTTTCCGGTAACCATACATTTGATATTAAAGGGACTGTAAACAAAATTAAAGTGACGTCCTCCATGTAGAGACCAAGGCCTGATGGCATTCAGCTTTAATCTCTAGTGTGCGCTATGTACATCACGAACTCAACACAGCGCAAACCGGAAGTTGCAGCTGAATACATGCGGGGTTCGATAAGTTTACGCATACATATCTCTGTACTCAGCGAGCACACAAATGTATTAAGGGTACAGTTGTAATATTGTTTATTCTCTAAACATTCGCTTTTCTTACACCATGCCAAATTTTGATCCTGAAATAAGATATATGACAAAACACGAAACAGTTAACATTAACCCTATGGTAACCTTAGTGTCCTTCCCAAAAATGTAACTTGTTTCTCTTCATAATTCACAGAATTTGAATCGGATTGTTTTTTATTGCATTAACCACAGAGGATTTTATTCCCATGTTTTTCTTACATTTATAGATATCTGCAGTTGTACACGTGTTTTCTTACATTTATACATCTCAACTGTTTATACACGTGTTTTCTTACATTTATAGATATCTTCAGTTGTGCACATTTTTTCTTACAATTATAGTTCTCTGCAGTTGTACACGTGTTTTCTTACATTTATAGATATCTGCAATTGTACACGTGTTTTTCTTACATTTATAGATATCTGCAGTTGTACACCTGTTTTTCTTTCATTTATAGATCTCTGCAGTTTATACACGAATTGTTCTTATATTTAAAAATCTCAGCAGTTGTACAGTTATGTTTATGGAGTACCAGGGCGTCATTTCAGTATAATCCTTTGTTGGTAACCCTGTTTTTATATATATTAAAAAGATTATTTTTTTTCTAGGAAGAAGAATACTTCTTGGATGTCGGGAATTAAATACACATTTTTGAAAAGTACAATTTCATGATTTTCAGAAAAACTGAATTATTTTGATCTACATTTAAAGATGACAATGCAAATTGTTTAATACGAAATAAAGTGTAATATGACCTGTGTGCAGTCGATGTATTATTAAAGTATACAAAAAATTTCAAGTGTAGATTTTTTCTTCATATTTTATCACAGAATTAAAGTTTATATAAATAATTTAAACTAATTAGTTTATTGTCTAAAATATAAAAACTGTATTTAAGTGAAGGGAACTTAAAATAAATATAAAGTTAACCTCTATATATTTCTTCATGTATATAAATTTACACAATTAAATTTAGTGCTAATTATATTTAAACTTCACATTTAAAATGTATCCGTTTATAATATCTTTCGTTTGATAGTTAACCCTTTAAAGGTTGCGGGGGGGGGGGTCTGAATCTATGGGATATTTTAGATTTTTTAAAATACAGACCGTTTTTTTCACTGTCCTATGTATTAAAAAAAATCAAGCTGATACATAGTGTAAAAGTTGAGAGTCCTAATAAAAAATAACTGCAATGGGGGCCTGGGGGGGATCAAACGCCCTCCCCCCCCCCACCTCCCACAGCCTGATTAGGGTTAATTCTGATGTTTATTAGTTAAATAGGACCCATAAACTGTGCGACATGAAGACGAATTTGAAGACGATTTTGACTCACAGTCCGAGATGAACATAAAAACGCTGCAATTGCGCGGTGTACGTACACTCAACAAAATTATTTCAAAGCTGCTGGTAAAACATTTTGCTTCAACATCAAAGCGACACAAAATCTTTCTATTTTACAGACTTATGGGACCAACTGTAATCCTAAAAGTCGTATGTTTTAAGGTTTAAGCTTCACGTACCTCTGACCCTGAAGTAAAAGTAAATTCAACCTAAAATCTGACAACGTCAACCTTGTTGCACCAGCTAGTCCTATTTACCCAATATCCTGGCGATACAGTACAAACTGGGAATGGAAAGGTTGACCCGGCTTGGAAATTCACATGTACTACGGCTGCCCCACGTGGATCTAACGGTTCTGTCAATATTCCAGAAATCTGTGACTTTCGATCACATTTTAACCAATTAAACATACTTATATGCATTTTTTATTAAGTACTATTTGTCGGCATATGCATTTTGAAGGAAAAAGTAAAAAACAAACAAATCCGTAAGTTTAAAGATTGTAGACAAAAACACGTTTGATTTCAAATAGAAGAAACCGAATGCTGCTCAAAAGTTATATATTTTGTCAAACAATTACAAAAGTATAATAGTAAAACTATATTATTTTGTCTGAAAGTCTCCAGAATAATTTGTAAAAGTTAACATTTATGTGTAAAATTATAAACACATATTTCTTAGATTTAACATTTTCCCTAGAAATTAATTCGTATGTCTTTAAGGAAATTCTTATGTCTAAAAGATAATTTTTATGTTTAAAAATCAATTCTTATGTCTAAAACTTAATATTTATGTCTAATTGTTAATTCGTTTGTCTAAAAGGCCATTTTTTGTCTAAAAGTTAATTCTTATGTCTAAAAGGCCATTTTTATGTCTAAAAATTAATTTTTATGTCTACAATTGAAACATTTATGTCTATAAGTTAATACTTATTTTGCAAATAAAAGTTAATGCATCATGTTTAAAAATTACCTTTATGTCTAAAATATATATATTTTTTTTGTAGAAAATGTGTCCTATAATGTCCTTTACATTTACAAGATAAATCACTCAAACTCAGAACTGTTACAAAATGATAACAAATCACAAAATATTTAAAAACGTTTATATGATTCAAAAACGACTTTAATTTCACTCTATACTTGCCTTGGCTGTAAATATTCATTTACATTCTGAGATGATAACATTTTAACTATTAAATAATTAATTAATATCAATTATCGATATATTTAAACTATAAAAGAAAATCTTTTATTTTCTCTATATCCATAGAATGTATTAAACTAAGGTCTGGATTTAATCTCCGAACAATCTCTTTCAGCTTTAATTTGATTCTTTCTTCTGATTTGCTACTCCCTGATAACAAGAAAAAAATTAGATGAAATATAAAATTTTAATGAAGATTTTTGGTTAAATGATTGCTCTATTAAGATCTCAGATATAATTATAAAAAAAAGAACAAAGAAAACACAAGGAAAGATAATTTTGCTTGTAAAAGTATAATTGAACAGAAATATTGAAATACGAGAAAGATTTTGATTCTGTATATGATTTTATTATCTTGCCTAGGTCGCTAAGAAAAAGAATAAAATTTTCAAATGTGTATGTTGCCACGTTTTTCTTTTTAGTTTGGATAAAACCAAACCGGTTTTTGTACACAGAACAGTTTTCAAGATGGTCGCCAGTCGGCACGCTAGCGCCAGCTTTCTCCTGACGACCATATTCAGAATCAACTTGACATTGGCAATTTGTACAGCTGCTGTTTTCAAAAGAGTTTGTGTTAAAATTAACCAGAGTGGCAACTACCCCGCACAACTGGATTTTCTAAAAATATAAAAGATATAGATAATATTTATAAATATATATCTATACTGTGGAGAACAGTCTGTTTTCACAGGTTTATCTTGGAGCAAGAATTGTATTTTAATAAACAGACTATCAGGTTTTAACAGACTCTCGTGAGTACGATCTGATAGGCCTGGAGTATGATCTGCTGAAATAATAACTTAAAGAATAGACATATAATAACATATTCAATAAACATATTGGTTTACAAGTATAATTTGTGCATTCAATATTTCTAGTGAAAATGTAAAAATGATGTTCCATGTTTTATGTATTTAAACTATAAATATCTTGATCTTCTGTGCCCCGAAGGTTCTCTGTATTTCTGAATTCTGAAAAAGGTGGGTCAAGCCTTTGTCTTTTCATGCGTAATAGTGTTAAGTACGTAACAATACAAAGATGTTTTTTATTTGTTTATATACAAACCTGATCAATTTCTTCAGTATCAGGAAAATTAAACATAATTCTTTGCAATGGATCTCTGAAAAAAAAACATCATTATGTTTTGAAACTTTGGGTTTCAACATGGTTTGCTATTTGCTTTCTTTATTATCATTATTGCTCATTTTATTTGTTCACTTTTCTTTCACAAATTTGAACTGCATGAGTTTTGTTTACGAATCAATAAATGGGGGAAATACGCGCAAATAGTTTCAAAATGTCGTCTTTTATCACGGGTATATGATATTCAAAGGATTTCTACAAAATTCAAAGCAATTTAACGACATTTTCGACAAAAAAATTGGTTATTCATAAATTATGAAACTTTGGTGACGGAAATAATTTTTGCCGCCAAACTATTATTTTCTAATCCCTATATCTTTGAAACCTGATGTTTCAATCATATATATAGAATATATATATAGATTATAAATTAGAGATTGTTACAAAAATTTAAAATTCTAGAAATACTTGGATGGGAGGGGGGGGGGGGGGTTATTTTTCTGTCCCTAGGTCAGTTGTCCTTTACCTATCGTCGTCATTCATAGTATTATCATACAAGTACATTCTCAGATTCTCACTCATTTTACCTGAAATATTTACAACTGTTAGAATCTTCACAACAGCTTAAAGGAATTGTATACGTAATTTGAAAGTGAGGCTCTCTATTAAGAGAGCGAGGCATGAATAATCTATTTAAAACTGAATTTAAACAATTTCCTACATTGTCTCTGCAACCTAATACCTGATACCCATATAAACATGTTTTGACATGTTTAAAATCGACTTTCCGTGGTCGTTTTATTAAATGTTTTTAATTGAAGTTTTAGATTTTTTCTCTCATTTTTTCCTTTAAGAATGTTGCTTCTAATTTGCCATTTATATACTGAATAATTTTGTGTTGGTGCAAAAATGATTTGACATTTCAGGAGAATTAGTTGCACCCTTACTTATTATATTTTACTTATTATATTTTACTTATTATATTTTACTTATTTCAGGAGAAATAGTTTCACTTATTCTATTTTTTACAGAACTAGATAAACTGTAAAACTCTTTTTCCCTTCTTTTCATTATGGAATGTCGCTCAGAATAAAGTAATTTGAAACTGAACTATTTTTAACATTTATGTTAGTTGCAACAATTTGGACGTATAAGGGAGACCAATGAGGACATTCATTTTACCGTCTTCTGCTTCTTACCGTCTCAACACAATTGTAGAATAAATAATTAAAAAATTTATGTTAGATTGTTTTAAAAAAATAAAGACGACTTTTCTATTTCTACTTCTCAATTGATTCCATGTTTATGTTAATCCATGCTGTTTGACATCTTGGCAGAAATCAATATTAAATCGAAAGTCGTCTTAATTGTATTGATATATACGACGGAGCCTGCATAAAAGTGTGGAATAGAAAGATGACCTTTAAATTCAAGTTTTGTTCTCAAAAAGTCCAATGACATATCAAATGTGCACTGTACACAGTTTTGATAACCTGAGGCCGAATTTAAGGAAATTTGAGCCGCGGCTTAAATCCGCCAAAACTCGGTTTAAATTAAGCTCAGGCTTAAATTTTGAAACATTAGATACAATTTTAAGTGAAACCAACCATCTTTAAGCCTCGGCTTAAATTTAAGCCGCCGCTCAAATTCTTTAAATTCGGCCTCTGTTTATTTTTAAGTTTCTGGTAAAACTATTTGCTTTGTGAGAACATTAAATACACATAAGATTGCTTAAATGCTGTCTTCCTAGTCCACTATTTATTAAAATATTAGTTTTATTAATATTAATAGTGATAATCATAGTCAACCCTTATCCTACTGAAGACTTCAGCTCACTACTATTAAAGTTCTAACTCATTTCTCACTGAACACTTGACAGTATTATAGAATAGATAGTAGAGTAAAACTGAGTTTCTTATCTTTTATCACATTTGTATTTTTAATAGTTTCAGACACACGTCCTCACAACATTTGATAGATATATAAATAGATAGATAGATAGATAGATAGATAGATAGATAGATAGATATATAGATAGATAGATAGATAGATAGATAGATAGATAGATTCATTTATATAGTGTGTTTATATATTATATTATTTAAATACGTAATATTTATTATTTAAGTTCAGTATAATTATCAAAATAATTTTTTTTATCTTTAAAACCACAAATAAAAATGATAAATTTTTAGTTGAAAAACAATGATATTTTTATTATTTTGCTGAGTCCCAGGTTTAAAGGTCCGGAACCATTTTTGGAAAATCCTAGGAAAAGGGACTGAGTATATTAAAAGTACATTTTAAAGGTTAAAACGGCATTTTAGAGAAAAATTGTTCAAGTTTTAGTAGGTTAGAAAGCGGTATCATTGTGAGTCGGCCATGAAGGGCACATTGAGATAACTTCCACAATAAAAGTAATCAAATATCATATCTACAGTGTAGATATCATATTTGATTACTATGCCTCTATATAATGACTCTGGAATTATGTTCAGAGATAAATTTTAGAGTTTTAGTATCCGTGACAAATTCATAATTTAACTAAATTATTTTGTCTATGCACGGAAGTACCAGTCTCTTTTTTGTCTGTGAACTGCAGAGCAAATTTCTCTTTTGTCTCTGAACTGAACTTTTTTGTCTTTTAACGGCAGGACTAGTCGCTCTTTAGTCTGTGAACTGCAATACCAGACTCTCTTTTGCCTGTGAACTGCAATACCAGACTCTCTTTTGTCTGTGAACTGCAATACCAGCCTCTCTTTTGTCTGTGAACTGCAATTCCAGACTCTCTTTTGTCTGTGAACTGCAGAACAAATTTCTCTTTTGTCTCTGAACTGAAGTTTAAAGCTCATTGTAAAACCAGCCACCAACCAAACCCAAAATCATGATGTAACACAACTTGCGTAGTTTCCCTGTTCAAACATATACGCAATCTTTAGCGTATATATTTTCTTTGGCCGGGTAAACATATTCATACACACAAACAATCTTTTTAGTCCCTATTTCCCATACAGGGTGTCCCACATCATTTCAGATTGTTTATGGGTCTAAATTTTCGGGACTACTAATTAGAAAGATTAAATCAAATTAAAAAATTGTATAAGCCTACCAAAAAAATTCCATAAAAAACAATCTTTATAGCTCTCTTTCACAAACAGGGTGTCCCACATCATTTCATATCGTTTATATGTCTAAATTGCGATTTTCGGGACTACTCAGAAAATTAGAAAGATTAAATTAATTTAAAAAATTGTATAAGCCTAATATATAAAGTTGCATGAAGAAAACACTCGGTAGTTCAGTATTACTCCAATATGATATGGGAAACGCTGTAGTTTATTAGCACACATTACTCCAATATGATATGGGACACTCTGTAGTTTATTAGCACACATTACTCCAATATGATATGGGACACTCTGTAGTTTATTAGCACACATTATTCCAATATGATATGGGACACTCTGCAGTTTATTAGCACACATTACTCCAATATGATATGGGACACTCTGTAGTTTATTAGCACACATTACTCCAATATAATATGGGACACTCTGTAGTTTATTAGCACACATTACTCCAATATGATATGGGACACTCTGTAGTTTATTAGCACACATTACTCCAATATGATATGGGACATCTGTAGTTTATTAGCACACATTTCCATTCATACATTTATTTAAGTAATTGTGAAGTTTAATGGGGTCGTCTACGTCAAGTAACCAATCATTTAAAGAGATACAAACCAGATTCACAATTTTATATAAAATACCATAATGGTACTGTTCTTACCTGTATCTTTCAAAAATGATAAAGAATGATTTGATTTTTTAATCTAAATATTGGATATTTGAAAATGTGGTTCTCTATCTAAGTGATGTTATATTGTTTATTGTTAGTTCTATGTGGTGCATGTTAAAGGGAACCAACACCAGTAAAATTTTTAATTGTTTGTTTTTGATTTTGATAAAATTTTATGGTAGATAAATAGAAAAGAATTTTGCAGATTGATTTGTTTCACTGTTTATGGAATTCTTCATCAAACGTCGATGTTTTTTGATAGTTCATTCTTTACGTTTTGAAGAAGTACAGGGGTTCACAATTTGTTTTTTAATGCTATTTTCTTTAAATATACAAGTATTAAAAAAGATTTTGATCTCTAGGCTTTAACTATAAAACAGGCCTAAGTACATACGTACGTTCATTAGCGGCCAGTATTTTCTTTGAAAATTAATTTTGTATCGTAAATTTCAAGGACTACATGTGGGCAGTTTATATTGTTGATGAAATCATCTGAGATGTAAAAAATTTCCTGAAAATTTTAAGTTCAATTTTTAAGTAAACTAGGCTTTCTTGTAAATAATTTTGGCGGATTTCTTTTTGAATTGGCGCATTTTCTAAAAAAAATCAAAAACCATTTTCAGGATTTTTTTCTTCCAATTTTAATGTTCCATAAACCTTCTCTGGGATCATTTGAGGTCCCACACAAAATTTGGGCCCGATCGGTTGAGCCGGTTTGACATTTTTTGTGGATACAAACGGACAGACAGACAAGAAAGTATATATATATATAGATTGTAATTTTTTATTACCCCCACATGAAAGTGAAAGCGGAATGAGCTAGTTCTCCAGCACCCCTGGAATAGGCATATCTTTACTTACAGGACATAGAATGGCCCGAAGGATGGGCAGAATGAAGAGCGCATGCGCGTGTCAAGCTTAAGCGCGCGTCGCGAAGAAAGTGAGGTTGAGTTTAGTGTGTGCAGGGTGAGTCAAGGGAAGAGAAGCAGGAGCTAACAGACAAATAGTTCAGGAGAACAGACATATTTACACCAGACAACTTTCACCAATCTCACCCAACCTTTCCAGGCAGTAGGCAGTAGGCATGGTAAGAACTTCGGTCATAGGGGCAATATATAAGAGAAGGGGGGGGGGGGAGAGGGCATTTAAATATTTCTAAAAAATTACTAGGTTTTGAAGAACTGAATTTGTATTTTATATTAAAAACTTTAAAACTAATTTTTGATACGATACTTTTCTCTTGATCGTAGAAGTCTCTTCTTAATGCATTTTTTTTTCTTTTTGTGTGAAATATCGCCAAAGGGGCAAGTTAAACCGCTTAAACACATTCATCAATACAGTAAAGCATGTGAACAATAAAATTTACAAGGTTTTTTTAATGTGGAAACAATAGAATTTAATTTGAGTGTAGGAAAATCAGTTTGCATTGGTTTCAACTGTATAAAATAATAAACCGCAAATCTGAACTGCCTCAAGTTATGTATTTAAAGAACATTTAAAAGTTTTTTTTGGAGTCAAACTGGTTTTTTTAAACAGAAAAAATGATATAGCGTATCAACTAATTAATGAAAAAACGGCTATTGGACTTTTAATCTATTTTCCAATAAACATAGCAATTAATTTACAATATCTACCTTCAGGGTATTCTAATAAACATGGGAATTAATTTACAACATCTACCTACATGGTGTTCCAATAATCATGGGAATTAATTTACAATATCTACCTACCTATATAGTGTTCCAATTAACTTAGACGCAAATATTTTCGCTATGAATTTCTCCTAAAAAGACTGAACTGAAAACCTTCGTAAACAAATCATTCTCATATTCTTTTTTTTCCTTCAAAATATTAATAAACATAATTTTTTTCCTTCAAAATATTAATAAACATAATTCTTTATATTTCTGCAAATATTAATAAACATAATTTTTTTTTCTCCTTCAAATATTAATACACATAATTCTTTATTTTTCTTCAAAATATTAAAACACATAATTCTTTATTTTTCTTCAAATATTAATACACATAATTCTTTATTTTTCTTTAAAATATTAATACACATAATTCTTTATTTTTCTTCAAATATTAATACGCATAATNTCTATATATTTATCTATCTATCTATATATATATATATCTATCTATCTATCTATTTATCTATCTATGTAATTGTTAGAAAGGGGGGTCAGGTGTCAGCTCTGCTCTCTCCCTACTTCCGCCTCATCTTTCTTGGAAAAAAAAATCAAAAATTTAGTTTTACAAGACTGCCGTTACAAGTTTTTAAGATTAGTCTGAAAAGGAATTGAGTCTTTGACACAAAGTCAAATGTTCTTATTACTATATCTTTGCAACCTGATGGTGTAAACTTTTGATATTCCAATAAGATTTCATAGATTGAGATATCATAGATTTAGGACAAAAGGTTGAAAAATTGAAATTTGAGTTTGTGGCAAAAAAAATTCCTTAGTTATTCCATACTCTGACAGGCTTAAATCATGTAAGACAAAAGAAAATGTAAAACATTTTTTTTCTCTAAGATTATTTTCGTGGACGTCTTTTAAAATAAAATTCTTTGATCCCTTCTAATAACCCGAACTATCCTGCATCTCTTCTGGTTTCCTCTACTCTCTCCTCACTTCCGTTTTGTCTTATCTTTCAGCTTTAAAGGAACTGTACATTTAATTTGAAGTGATCCTTCATTTAGAAATTGATATTTACGATTGAAAACGTGACCTTTTAAACCTTAAATACAATTTTCATCCTAAAATTGACTTATTTTCAAAAGTGGTTCCTCCACTTGTGAATTCATGCAAGATATGAGAATAAAGAAATTGTAAGAAATCAACACTTTGCCGGTTAAAAAAAGATTTACTGATGTGAATTGAACAATCCAATCTTAGGGTCACCTAGAAATACACCTATATTCCCTTTCGCTATCTTTTTAGCTCACCGTGAATAAAAAATTTAGCCTTAAAATCGCTTTTCTGATGACCACCTTTTTAAGGCATTTTTGGTTGGTTAGGACATTATTGACGTACAAGTTTAATTTTAAATTATAAGATTAGATTGATTAATGTTAATTAACTATGAGATTTCTTTTACAAAGCGTTAATTATGGTATATTTATAATGTTATAATTGCAATAATTACTTTTCATGTAAAAGATTTTAACACAATGAAGTACTTTAATAGAAAGTGTTTCAAACTTTATAAACTGTTTATCTTGAATTAAAAACGTGAAATCTGTTATAGGATCACTGGCGTGTATTATAACGAAAAAAAGTTTTGTGTTTTTATTGTGTTTATTCAATGTGCATGACGCTTTTCTTTTAACTTATTGCACGCAAGGTCAGATCGTTGAAAAAAAATTCAAAACGATATTTTTTCATAAAAAGTCTGAATTTAAATTTTGAAATCGAAATATCAAGGAAAAAATAAAAATAAGTAAATTTGGAAAAGTAATCAAAAAAAGATCTTGGGGAAACACATTACAATTGGCGTAAATAGATTTTAAAAAAATTAGGAAAATTAACCAAATAAGTTTAAGAAAATGGATGAAAATAGCTTAGCAAACTAGATTAAGAAATCAGCCCATATGGTTTACTGGTCCTTGAATGTGTTATTTTCAATTTAATAATTCAATTAGTCAATTTATTTTTTTCAAAGCACTTTATCAGATTTCATACGAGATTGGGGGGAAATGGGGGGTATTATGTAGGGGAGGGGAATTACTCTTTGTTTCTTTGAAATTCTAACCCTTTTATTTTAGCGAGAGTTTCTATTAGTGGGACTCCTCTTTGGAGTCTCATTGGGGGACAAGGGACCAAATCCTGATCAGTCCTATGGAGCCCCTCAACAGTCTTATGGAGCGCCACAGCAGCAGGTAGAAACAATTTAAAAACTTTATTGTAAATTTTCAGTTCTTTTTTTGGACACTTATTCACCTCTACTTGCATATAGCTGACGGATATTATTTAAAGGGGTCTATCTGTATTTTTATTATTCTTTGTTCGAGATTTATTCATTAATCTATGTAAATATGTTAGGACGGGTGGTCCTTTCCATATATTTATTAATCTATGTTTAGGTTAAATATGGTGGTACTATCTTTATATTTATTAATCTATGTTTTATGTTAAGTACGGTGGTCTTATCTGTATATTTATTAATCTATGTTTAGGTTAAGTACGGGGGTCCTATCTTTATATCTATTATTCAATGTTTAAGGTTAAGTATGTGGTCCTTTCTAGTATCTATTAATCTATGTCCAGATTAAGTGCATGTGGTCCTATATCTATTATTTGTTAATCTATATTTAGGTAAAGAACGGCGAGGTGGTCCAATCTATTGTCTATATATTTATTAATCTATGTTCAGGTTAAGTATGGTGGTCTTATCTATGTATTTATTAATCTATGTTCAGGTTAAGTACGGTGGTCCTATCGTATACTCTGGAGAGAAACCACCAATAATTCACTTCCCTCCTCCCCCAGAGGTAATTAGAAATGTTCTAATCTTTTTTTATAAAAAAAACTAAAATAAATCTTTAAAGTTAAGAAAAACTGAAATTATCTACAATTTTTTATTGTAACCGTAAAAAAATTATGTTTGAAAGCAAATGAATTATTATTTCAGCCCTCATACTCTAATGGTGGATATGGCGGAGGTTCCAATCCTCCCCCTGCAGTTAAATATGTACCACTGCCCCATCATGAACTTCCCGTTCTGATCTATCAGTCTGATAATGCTCCTCCTATTCATGTGGTTCACACGCCCCGCCCAGCCACCCGCCCCTCTTATGATCCTCCAAAACAAACTTATGAGGAGTCCAAGCCATCATACAACAAGCCTCAACAGAAGCCAGCATACAACCCACCTCCTCCAACTAAGCCAGCTTACAACCCACCCGAACCGACCAAGCCTGATTACAACCCTCCCTCCAAGCCTGCATATAAGCCCCAACAGAAGCCAAGCTACAATGCACCTGAGCCCCGTCCAAGCTATGGACCTCCTCCTCCTAAACCCTCATATAACAGACCTCAGGCTCAGCAACAGCAGGCTAAACCATCTTATGGACCACCACCTCAGTCCAATAGACCTCCTATCAATCAAAGACCTAACAGACCTAGGCCTCCACCAGCTAAACCCAGCTATGGACCTCCCAAGAAACCAACCTACCAAGAGAAGCCAAAGCCTAGCTATGAGAAGCCCCAACCACCTCCTAAACAGAGCTATTCTGCTCCTGCCCCTGAGACTTATTCTCCTCCTGCTGAACCATCTAAGCCATCATACAGTTCTCCACCCGTACAGTCCTACCAGGCTCAGGAGCAGAAACCAGTTTATCTACCTGCCCCACCAGCACCAGCTCCAGTAGCAGTTAATGCACCAAAACCTGTCTATGCTGAAACCCCATCCAAACCAGCTTATGAAGCTCCTAAACCTTCATATACCCCTCAAGCTCCAGCTAAACCAGCTTATAACCCTCCTGCACCAACACAAGCAGCATATAATCCCCCAGCCCCGACAAAACCGGCTTACAACCCACCTCCAACCAACAAACCCTCTTATGCACCTCCTGCACCTACCTATGCTCCACCTAAGCCTGTTTACAAACCCAAGCCGAGCTACAAACCTCCACCAAAGCAAACCTACAATGAACCTCTCCCCTCTCCAGCAGCTCAGACCTACCAGCCGGAAAACAATTATGAGGAAGCCCCACACATCATTTATGCAGGACATCCTCCAATCCATATCTACCAACAGCCTCCGGTTTTAGAACAAGCTTACCAGCCTCCAGCACCAGTATATAAGCCTCCAGCATCCCCTAAACCTCTGTACAACCCTCCTGCCCCCCAACCTCCTTCATACAACCCTCCAGTAGCTCCAAGCAAACCAACATATGATGCCCCTGCACCTCCAACATACAATGCTCCAAAGCCATCCTATAATGAACCTAAGCCATCTTATAATGAACCCAAGCCTTCTTATAATGCCCCTAAGCCTACTTATAGTGAGCCAAAGCCTTCTTACAATGCTCCCAAGCCTAGCTACAATGAGCCCAAGCCTTCTTACAATGCGCCAAAGCCATCCTACAATGCCCCCAAGCCATCCTACAATGCTCCAAAGCCATCCTACAATGCACCCAAGCCTGCCTATAGCCCTCCAAGACCAAGACCTCCCCCAAGCAATCACCGACCTCAGTACCAGGCCCCCAGTCAGACTGAACCTGTTTATGTACCTGCTCCTTCACAATACAATAAGCCTCCAATTATCATCTACCAAGGAGTGAGACCACCTGTCCATGTTTATGAACAACCTCAGCAGCAACAGGCCCATCAACAACATCTTCCTTCTTACCAACCTAGGATTGATAAACAAGAACCACCAGTTGAACAACAGCAGAACCTTAACCCGGAAAATCCTCAGCTAAATCGCAAGAAGAAACAGCACCATCATCATGAACAGTCAAAGGAATTTAGACATCAAAATCAGCCCCAGAAACAGAAGCAACAGCAATCTCAACAGCAAAGAAGACGCACTCAAGAGAAGAAGGAGAACAATGGTTTCTTTGGTCTTCAGAACTTATTTGTCCAGGATAACACCAATGAATACCAACAGAAGAGGAATGAGGTTGACCCAGGTCAAGCAAGGCAAGATGCAACGAAAAGTCCAGCAGCAGGTGAGATTTATGCATTCAGGTTTTTTTTGGTTTGAATTACATAACAAATTCAAAAGAATTAAATTTGTGCATTTAATTCATTCAAAGAGAGTAGCCTTGATAAGCTAAATGTAAGATATAGCATAAAACAAGCTAAAGGCTTTCATGCAATCCTTAACAATTATTTTCTTGTTAAGAGTTCCTTGGTGCAGGGGTGGAGGAGGAGGGACGTCTTCAACCTAAGCTCCAGGAGATAGAAGCTCCAAAATCTGTACATGTTAATTCAAATCTGTACATGTTAATTCAAATCTGTACATGTTAATTCAAATCTGTACATGTTAATTCAAATCTGTACATGTTAATTTAAAGCTTAACTAAGTTTGATCAACATTTTTTTTCAGAAGTGTAACAGTTTCAGCCTCCACTGGTGTTACTAATATCGACACTATTTCCGCTCCTATTCCTGCACAATCAAGAATTGATGCCTCTGATGATCGGTCGGCGGTTGTTAAGGCGGTTGTTTCAGTGGCGGGAGAAGAAAACCTCACTCGGCGGGGTACAGTCGAAGATATTCCAACAGAATGATTTTTTCTAAATCACAAATTTTTAGTCATGACCTCTTGTTCTCTAGTAGATACAAGAGATCACTGATTTATCAACAAAATCAAGTTTTTTCCCTTTTTAACAAAATTGCTCAAAAACTTCTTCTCATGAATGAACCTCCGGGTAAGTCTGAAGTGCATATATACGTGTTAGAAATCTCATAACCATGTTAATATACATATTGTATTATTGTATTGTATATTACACCCGTAGCAAATCAGATGTGTCGAATTCCACCCTGGAATCCGGAATCTCACTCCTGTATTTTTTATACATAGCTTATAGTCGTTATCTTTAGACTAAAGTTTATGCATTTAAAATTAATCTTGTTGTAGGTTACTTTTAAAAGCCTGAATTTTAGACTCTCCTGGCTTCCATAGTCTCAAGTTCTATGAGACTAAATGTTAATATTTGTATTTATATTTTTAACCATAGCCTGTTTCAAAAAAAGGATTCAATCACCCATTTTAAATTAGTTCAAATTGATTGATAGTTTAATTGTCAATAGTATGGTGGTGGGCCGGGGGACTTGATTTACCCTAAGTAAGGGGGGGGGGGATAGGGGGAGGTTTTGAATTCACCATATATGCACAAAAGTACACATTGCTCATTGTCATTTCTACAAATACCATTCTTAAGAGAAATCTCAAGGCTGGAATTTCCATGTAGTCCTGGGGCTAACTTAAAATTGGCATTTATCGGAATCCAGGAATTCAGACAAGTGGACGTCAGGGGCTAAGGGGGCTAAGGGTACAAGATGGACTACGGGTACTTTAGGGGCTAGGGAGGGGATAATAGTGGCAGAGGATATATAAGATAAAAACTAATTCAATTTAATAATTTAAGAACTGTTGAAGCGGTCAGTAAACGCAAAAAAGTAACAAAAACTAAGAATGCGTACGCTAATGCCGGTTGGGATATGTAGAGGGGGGGCATGTTCAGGATGGTGGGGGGGGGGAGACTGGAATATATTAGGGTTTCATCTATTGGAGAAATCTGAGTGTGGTTTCTCCAACGCTAGACATGTAGATAGATAGATAGATACATAGTGAGAGTTGGGGCCTTGAAAATATTACTTACAATTACTGACCGCTTCACACACACACACAGATAGTTCTGCGGACAAACACACAAACATAATTCCCACAGGCTCACATTGTACTCTTACCGCACGCATAAATGCACCCCCTTTACCTCCTCTCAATATTAAACACACTGGCGTTTTAGATACCACCTCCCCACCCCCACCCCGCGGAATCAAAATAAAAACCAAAATATTTTTTCGCAAGTTGTGAATTTTTGTGCCAAACAATCCTGGCGATGGAAACAGAGACGTTTTTCTATATTTTAGTTAATTGACAAAAATGTTTGATATTTATGTTGCTTTTATGAATGTTTACCGAATCTCTATCTTTACCTTCACGTTGTACTATTTAGTTGTTATAAATAAATACATTAATAGTAAACTTTTTTATTTTATAAAATAATTTAAGGTTACACTAAACAAAATATATCATGGTTGAAAAAAGTAAATGGTTGAACAAAAACGGTTATAACGGACGTACGTAGCCTATAACAGAGATTTTTATGGATTTTTTTTAGTGATTTATATATATATTTATTTTTGGTTTGAGCAAAATTTAACTTGGAGTAAAAAATCGAAAAATAGTAAAATAAATATTTTCCCATATTCCATCTTTTAACATATTTCATGATTAATAAAGAAAACGTATGTTTTTTTGTATTTTCAGATAAAACAGGGAAAACAGGTGTTAAAAATAGATAAAATATAAATTGCCTCAACATTTCTTCAACATGAAGAGTGAAAATGAACAATTGTACGTTAGATATAAATACAACAATTTTCAAATACAACATTAACAACAGACTTAACATTTATTGAATTATAGGCGTCCAAGTAGGCTTCACATAGAACTATAATAAAAAGTCAATTTACAGACATCTTAAAATTGTCACTCAATTCCCATGTTTATTGGGACACCCTGTGTCCACTATATCAATTTGATTTATTCATCTCCGGTCTATGCGTGCTTAACATGATTTGTAGCAAAGACACCAAGCATATTGAGTTCAGGTCTCCTAAAAACAATAAAAATATTTAAATTCCGATTGGCTCACCATTTACCTGATTCACAACGGTCACTTTAAACCTTTGTCTTATCAAAGATTAATAAAAAATCCTTATTTTCTAGCCAAACATTAGCAATATCTAATTATTTCTCCGAAAAAGTAAAATTGTCAAAATTTAATAAGTTAATATTTACATATTCCAGATAAAAGTACGACTATAGCTTTCTTATTGTTCTTCAGACGAAGTTATAAAGGGTACTGGTGTGTATCGAACATGACATTAGTGAAGGTTTATTTGAAATTACGTTGACAGTCCCTTTAATATCACTAAACTAATTTAGTGGGTAAGTCAATTACGCCTATGATGTGCCGGGTACTGTAAAAAGTCTGGCCGCGTCATCAAAATTAAAACCAAGTTGGCATAGAATAGGGTCCGCCGGTAGTTGCCGGGCGTCATTAAGGTTTGTACAAGAAGTCGGTCCGGTGACCGGTTCGAATTCAAATTGACCCTAGTCCACCGTGTAATGATTATTCACCTAAAACCCCTTCAACTCCTGCAAGATTACTGACTCGGAACAGGTTTTCCTTTCTCCAGCTCAAAATGGCCGCGGACAGCAATGCCAGGATCTTAAACAATTATTTCTTAAACTTTTTATCAGAAAAGACCTTTTTTGATTCATAAATAAATATTTGAAAAAATTTCTTTCTTTCATCATCATGAATTAAATTCGAATTTTTTCAATTTACAACTTTTTTGTTGTTGATTATTTCTTTACTGATTTGGATATGATTGGGATACAGCCGGCCAAACGGCTGGACCAATTGGGCTGATTTTTTTGTGGACACTCATTTTTTTCCATTTTTTTTCACCGGCAACGCCGGACCCTTCAGGTAGTAATTTTTAAAAGTGGTGGAGTTAATATTTGTACTCAGTTTTAGTGTGATCTACATCAACATTAAAGGAATGGAGTCTATATATTTGCTTGCAACATGATGCATTTTCATCTAACAGAAATCATATTAGGTTGCAAATATATAGTAATTAGAAAATCAGAGCTTGTAACAAAGAATCAATTCCTATTTAGAATATAAAATGATTTATTATATGAATATGATTAATTAATTTTTCATGAAAAAAAACTGTAAAATACGATTTAGGACCTTGGATTTGATTATGTCTCACCACACAAAATTTAATTGATTTGTTTATTATTCATTTGTTGGAATTTAGAATCTACGGAAACATAATACTCCGCCCTTGCGCTGTATAATTTAGAAATTCATTGGATTTTATATTCTTAGATATCATGATTTGTTTATGGTTTATCATATGTTTTATCCTGTCTATCCTGTCTATCCTGTCTATCCTGTCTATCCTGTCTATCCTGTTTATCCTGTTTATTCTGTCTATCCTGTCTATCCTGTCTATCCAAATTCAATTAGTCAATTTATTTTTTTCAAAGCACTTTATCAGATTTCATACGAGATTGGGGGGAAATGGGGGGTATTATGTAGGGGAGGGGAATTATTTAGGGGGGGGGGTGTTTGAAGTGTGTGAACGCATTTTATTTCATACTTGACTAAACATTGATAACCTTGAGGTTTAAACAATTTCAGGGTTTCACTTTCTTAGCATCAAACTTGGTTTGATTTGTTTAATATTACTTGGTTAAATATATTTCATTCAAACTAAATTTTTATCTATTTAGTTAATTTAAAACTAAGGTTCAAAACACAGTTTTTACACTTATTCAATTACTTACTTACTTACTCGTTCATTCAATCACTTAGGTGCTCACTTACTCACACACTCACTTCATTACTTACTCACTCACACGCTTACTCAGTAACTCACTTACTCACTTACTCACTTACTCACTTACTTACTTACTCAGTAACTCACTTACTCCCTCACTTACTTACTTACTTACTTACTTCCTCATTCATATACTTCCTNCTTACTCCCTCACTCAATCACTACCTCACTCACCTACTCACTGAAAGATACTGGAAATCACATTCCTAGATATAAACTGTGTAGAATGTAGATCTAATCTATACTTGTATACAAGGACCTATTCTCTATCAGAAATATTTTATAAAAATGTAGAAGAAAAGGGAAAATTGTTATGGAGGGGGGGGGGAGAGAAATATTAATAATTATTAACTCTAATACAACTTGTTTCTTTTAAATTTTAATTTTTTATTTTAGCGAGAGTTTCTATTAGTGGGACTCCTCTTTGGAGTCTCATTGGGGGACAAGGGACCTAATCTTGATCAGTCCTATGGAGCCCCTCAACAGTCTTATGGAGCGCCACAGCAGCAGGTAGAAACACTTTTAAAACTTTATTGTAAATTTTCAGTTCTTTTTTTTGACACTTATTCACCTCTACTTGCATATAGCTGACGGATATTATTTAAAGGAACCTATCTGTATTTTTATTATTCTATGTTCGAGATATATTCATTAATCTATGTAAATATGTTATGACGGGTGGTCCTATCCATATATTTATTAATCTATGTTTAGGTTAAGTACGGTGGTCCAATCTACATATATTTATTCATCTATGTGAATATGTTAAGACTGGTGGTCCTATCCAAATACTTATTAATCTATTTTAAGGCTAAGAACGGGTTCAAATCTATATATATTTATTAATCTATGTTTAGATTAAGTTTGGTGGTCCTATCTTTATATCTATTATTCAATGTTTAAGGTTAAGTATGTGGACGGTCCTATCTAGTATCTATATATTTATTAATCTATGTCCAGATTAAGTGCAATGGTCCTATATCTTTTATTTGTTAATCTATGTTTAGGTTAAGTACAGTGGTCATATGTTTAGGATAAGTATGGTGGTCCTATCTATTGTCTATATATTTGTTAATCTATGTCAATGTTAAGTTTAGTGGTCCTATCTGAATATTTATTAATCTATGTTCAGGTTAAGTACGGTGTTCCTATCTTTATTTTGATTAATCTAAATAAAGGCGTTGCCCGTGGAATTAAAAAAATCTAATTTAGAAGAAAAGTGCAAATTTAAGATAAAAATTGATTTTTAAAAAATAAATTTAGAATTTGAAGAAAATAAATTTAATTTTTTAGCATGATCGGTCCAGCGGTTTAGCCGGCTATATATATATATATATATATGAGCAAAGAGCTTTATTATATAGATGTTCTAGTTTGGTGGTCCTATCTGTATATCTATCAATCTATGTTTTGGTTAAGTATGAGGTTTCTTTCTTTATTTTTATTAATCTATGTTTAGGTTAAGTATTGGGGTTCTATCTATATATCTATTAATCTATGTTCAGGTTAAGTGCGGGGGTCCTATCTATATATTTATTAATCTATGTTTAGGTTAAGTATGGGGGTCCTATCTATATATTTATTAATCTTTGTTCAGGTTAAATATGGTGGTCCTATCTATTGTCTATATATTTATTAATCTATGTTCAGGTTAAGTACGGTGGTCCTATGGTATACTCTGGAGAGAAACCACCAATAATTCACTTCCCTCCTCCCCCAGAGGTAATTAGAAATGTTCTAATCTTTTTTTTGTAAAAAAAACTAAAATAAATCTTTAAGGTTAAGAAAAACTGAAATTATCTATAATTTTTATAGTCACCATAGTCTTCAGAACTTATTTGTCCAGGATAACACCAATGAACATCTTCCTTCTTACCAACCTAGGATTGATAAACAGGAACCACCAGTTGAACAACAGCAGAACCTTAACCCGGAAAATCCTCAGCTAAATCGCAAGAAGAAACAGCACCATCATCATGAACAGTCAAAGGAATTTAGACATCAAAATCAGCCCCAGAAACAGCAGCAACAGCAATCTCAACAGCAAAGAAGACGCACTCAAGAGAAGAAGGAGAACAATGGTTTCTTTGGTCTTCAGAACTTATTTGTCCAGGATAACACCAATGAATACCAACAGAAGAGGAATGAGGTTGACCCAGGTCAAGCAAGGCAAGATGCAACAAAAAGTTCAGCAACAGGTGAGATTTGTGCATTCATTTTTTTTTGGTTTGAATTACATAACAAATTCAAAAGAATTAAACTTGTCCTTTAATTCATTCAAAGAGAGCCTTGATAAGCTAAATGTAAGATATAGCATAAAACAAGCTAAAGGCTTTCATGCAATCCTTAACAATTATTTTCTTGTTAAGAGTTCCTTGGTGCAGGGGTGGAGGAGGAGGGACGTCTTCAACCTAAGCTCCAGGAGATAGAAGCTCCATAATAATAATAATAATAACCCGTAATTCCGATTGGCTCACCATTTACAGAGTGGCATGCCTGATTCACAACGGTCACTTTGAACCTTTGTCTTATCAAAGATCAATAAAAAATCCTTATTTTCTGACCAAACATGAACAATATCTAATTATTTCCCCGAAAAAGTAAAATTTTCAAATTTAATACGTTAATATTTAATACATGTTCCAGAAAGAAGTACGACGATAGCTTTCATATTGGTCTTCAAACGAAGTTATAAAGGGTACTGTGAAAAGTCTGGCCGCGCCATCAAAATTAAAACCAAGTTGGCATAAGATAGGGTCCGCCGGTAATTGCCGGGCGTCATTAAGGTTGGTACAAGAAGTCGGTCCGGTCCAAATTCAAATTGACCCTAGTCCACCGTGTAATGATTATTCACCTAAAACCCCTTCAACTCCTGCAAGATTACTGACTCGGAACAGGTTTTCCTTTCTCCAGCTCAAAATGGCCCCGGACAGCAATGCCAGGATCTTAAACAAATATTTCTTTTTTTTAACTCTGAGGATTTTACTGCCGATAGGTAAATCAGAAAAGACGACATGGAAACCTTTTTTTTATTCATAAATAAATATTTAATAAAATAACAAGGATCTTTGCAAGTTTTCTTTCCTTTACATCATCATGAATTAGATTTGTTTTTTTCAATATACAACTTTTTTGTGTTGATTATTTCTTCACTGATTTGGATATGATTGGGAATAAGCATAGTCTCAAACTGAAATATTCTATATAATAATGTTGCGTATAGCCGGCCAAATACGGCTGGACCAATTTGGCTGACATTTTTTGTGGACATTCATGGGTGGCCGGGGGTGTTTTAATAGGCTAAAAAAAGAAAATTTATTTTTCCATTTTCTTCCATTTTTATTTCCACGGGCAACGCCGGGCCCTTCAGGTAGTAATTTTTAAAAGTGGTGGAGTTAATATTTTCACTCAGTTTTAGTGTGGTCTACATTAACCAACATCAACATTAACGGAATGGAGTCTATATCTTTGCTTGCAACCTCATGCATGATGGTGTTAATCTTTGATATTTTAATCTTAGATTTTTTCACCTAACAGAAATTATATTAGGTTGCAAATATATAGTAATTAGAGCTTGTGACAAAGAATCAATTTCCATTTAGAATATAAACTGATTTATAATATGAATATGATTAATTAATGTTGCAAACTGTAAACTGTAAAATATGATTTAGGACCTTGGATTTGATTATGTCACACCATACAAAATTTAGTTGATTTGTTCATTATTCATTTGTTTGAATTTAGAATTTATGGAAACAGGGCGGACCTGGCTCTGTAAAATTCAGAAATTCCTTAGACTTTATATTTTTAGATATCAATATTTTGTTGTTTGTTATATATTTTATTGGTTATTCCATTCTATCCTGTCTATTCTGTCTATCCTGTCTATCCTGTCTATCCTGTGTATCCTGTGTATCCTGTCTATCCTGTCTATCCTGTCTATCCATTCTATCCTGTCTATTCTGTCTAATATCCATATAATCTATAGTGAGACCCACAAAACTGAAGAAGGAGGAAGACGACAATAAAATCAATAATAATCTGTATTTGAGGCTGTTATAAAGCAAATTAGTTCAAAAATCTTATGAGATAAACGGGTCAGTGTGTACACTGAAAAATGACGTAATCTGCACCACTTCTGTATGTCGAGTCCATAAGCACCTGATCCAATCAGGTTTGTTGTCTATTCTGAACCAATAGAAATAGTATGGCGGTAACATTTATCTTTCTATCTATCTCATTATCCAATCAGAGTTATGAATCCTTCTATCGGCCCTATCAGTAAATGGAAATATTTACTTACACTGAAACTATAGTGGCGCACAATTGGTTTGTTTCATGTTCATTGAACTTTTAAAACCATAACCTGAGTCTAAACGATCTTCTTCATAAACCACAGTTTTATGGGTCCAACTGTATTTATCCATCTATCTCTTTACCTCCATAGAATCGTAGGCAATGATTAGATCCCAGAGAGAAAGTAGCTGAATAGGAGCAAAGTACCCAGAGAAACCTCTCATTATCCATCTACCAAAAAAGTCTTCGCCACAAACTCAAATATTCTAATCCCTATATCTTTGAAAACCAATGTCATAGACCTTAAATATTTCAAGCTATGGAATATGTTGGATCAGAGAAGCAAAGTTTGAAATTTCAAATACATAACCCATCAGTTTGCAAAGATATTTGAATTAGAAAATTTAGTTTGTGGCAAATCGGTTTTAACATTTCAGAACCTTTTATATCATATCAGAGGGTCCGAGGAACCTAGAAATCTAAAAATAGATTCATTACTGAACTGTTTTATTTCTTATGCGGCTTAGTACCTTTAAACCTTGTATTGTCATTGAATTGATATATTTATAATCAAAACTGGGCTAAACTTTTGCTCTGTATGCAATTCTGTGGAGAAAATTAAAAATCCACCCAAAAAATACTTTTTTTATTGCCATAACTAATAATTCAGAAAGTTGACAGAATTTTTATTCTGATTTTTTATTCAATATTGATTTGTTAAAATCGGTTGCGCTTCACGGAGCCTGGTGGGAACTATCGTGCGCGGCGGTAAACTTTGTAACAATAATATTTCAGGGTCAGATACTATCCCCCCTGCTAGAATCCAACCCTGATTACCAGGTGGACATAATGAAATAATAGATTAAAGGGACTGTACGCGTAATTTCAAGGGACTCTCAAGGCAAAGATGTCAATGCCAGATTCACTATACTGTTCCCTCTTGAAACCTTTATCTCTGATCAATAATATGGAAAATATTGTCAGTTTTCTTAATTTAAAAGTGTTAAAATTCCTAAATGTTTTCCTGCAGTAGAAATGAGCAAGTACTTTTGTAGAGAAACCCCAGGGGGGATGATAGTTGTCTACCTGTGTGCTCAGTTGGCTGTACTGACCTACAACTGTAGAGAAACCCCAGGGGGGATGAGAGTTCTCTACCTGTGTGCTCAGTTGGCTGTACTGACCTACAACTGTTTACTAATATTTTTTTGAGATCTAGATATTTATTATCTCCGTATCGAGATTATATCAATTGTACAAAATTGTTCACATGTATTTAATACAACTATTTTACGATACTATCGTGTACATATATTCTTAAACTAAATAATAAAAAATCATACGGATACATTTTATCGTTTTTTCCTTTAATTAGAAATTTGGATTTTGGGATACTTGGATCCTGCAAGACATACAAATTGAGGAGTGCAACAATGAAAGTGTAGAGAATAAATTGCATATAATTAGTCGGTGACGAAGATTTTTTTAAGAGTCGTCTGCATATAATTTGAGCATTTAATGAGGAAAGTCAGTTTGAGCAAGCATTATAAAGTTTTTATGTAACAATGGTATAATGTCAATGTATGCAATATGGAAGTTAAACTATGTCGTCTTGATGCTAATTAGCCGACGCAATTATGGAATACGATATATTTGAGGTACATACTGGCAAGGAACATTGATGGTTCCTTCCTGCATGTTCCTTTTCTCTCTGTAGTTAATAATCTACACGGCCAACGTGACGATAGCAGGCGCCAGAACAAGAAGTGTTAAACATGAAAAAGCTTGTTGGAGAAGCATTTAGTTTCAAATGGAACAAAAACACATTATGCTTGAGAACAAGACTCACGTAGAACATTGGTTCTGCGCTACTATCTAGGACATTGAAAAGAGATCAGTGCTTAACCTCTTCATTTCTCTCAATTCTTCAAGGTATAGCAAGGTATGGTGCACGTTTATATTGTGCAAAGATTTCGAGATATCGATGTAGCGTAGTTATCTCCCCTTCTTGAGAAATAATATTGATATACTATAGGTTAGGCCAGAATCTCCTTATAATAAACAAATATGCAGTACGCTCTTGGTATAGTTCATGGCCTATTCAATTTGTAAAGGATTAAGTACATCATCACTCTATACAATATAACCTCGCTAAGAAACCCCAATTAAAAAAATATTAGTTTTAAAAATCATAAACATTAATATCTATTTCATACTTTATAAGACAAAGCTTGTAAGGCCGGGTACTGTTGGGTATTGGGAATGACCTTTTTTGTATAAAGGCTCACTTGAAATAACGCTTACAGTCCCTTTAAATTGTGGGGGGGGGGGCAATAAACCCCCATCTTGTCAAAAAGTGTTACCACCCCTATTTTTAAAGATATATTTTAGAATCAAAACATATGATAAGTGAAATTTGTATTTTAGCTGGTTTTGTGCACTGCGTAAAAAATATTTATTCTTAATAAGTTTTTATGACAACAAAGGAATTGATTTTTTGCCACAAACTCAGATTTTCTAATTCCTATAACTTAGCAACCCGTTTTCCTAGACCTTTGATATTTCAAAATATTAATTCTGGTAGATCAAATAGTCTAAGTTAGAAATATCATCAGGTTGCAAAGATATATGGGTTAGAAAATGTAAGCTTGTTGCAAAAACTCAATTCCTTTGAAGCAATTACTCCTTCTACTTCTTTATTCTATTTGGATATTTGGCAACATATATGTATTTTAATTGCTAATTGTATAATACATTTAAAATTGAACCCAGAATTGGAGAGCAGATTATCAATACCTTGTTAAGGTGTTACATGACCAGAGGATATTACTTACATATTACATACATACTTACATTCGTACACTTTTTCTAACTATAGGGTTAAAAAGATTTTAAAGTAACATTTTTTTGTCCATGACAATTTTTTTTCCAAAAATGATAAAGTTTTAATGGATAGAGTGAAATCCAAGAAATCGTTTTAAGGACTTGAAAAATATTAAATAAATTCCCATGCATATTGTATGGTGGAACTTTCAAAACATAAATAAATATCAACTATTGCATAATAAGTTCTCATGAGAGGAAGGTTGGGGGGGGGGGGGGGGGAGGCCAATATCATTTTCCAATTTTGGCGAATTTTTCTTTCCGAATTGGCGCATGTTCAAAATAAATCCAGCTATTTTTCAGATTCACCGACAAAGGGTCAAACGAACCAGGGTCAAACGACACAGGGTCAAACGACATAGGGTCAAACGACACAGGGTCAAACGACAAAGGGTCAAAAATGCGACAAAGGGTCAAACGACACAGGGTCAAACGACAAACGGTTAAAAAATGCGACAAAGAGGCAAATTTTTTTTAATTCTGTCAGTTAGTATTTTTTTTATTATTATTTATATCACGGGTTAGGTTAAGTTATGACACTTTATGGGCCGAGCGCTGTGGCTAGGATTCAATCTCGATCTACAAATGTCATCCCCCCTTAATCATGCTTTTAATCCAGTGCGGCAGTGAATTCTTCCCCACCTCGCACACTCGAAGGTTGGAGTTCAGCGTCTGCCAGAATATTACAGGCCCGAACTTGTCAAATTCAATGTAATTTAGGTCGTCTTTACATCCTTTGTGGGTCATTCCCTGGTTTATATATTTAACATGAATTATAAAAATAATTTTAGTTGCTTTTAACTGTTCCTCTGAAACTTGGGCCCGATCAGGTCAGTCGTTTTGACGTTTATCGGTTATAAAGAAACAATTATACAGACAAGCGAAGTATAAATATGGATACCTGAAGACTACTCTAGTTGGCTGGACAAGCAAAGTATAACTATAGATATACCTGAAGACTACTCTAGTTGGGGCTGGACAAGCAAAGTATAAATATAGATATACCTGAAGACTACTCTAGTTGGGGCTGGACAAGCAAAGTATAAATATAGATATACCTGAAGACTACTCTAGTTGGGGCTGGACAAGCAAAGTATAAATATAGATATACCTGAAGACTACTCTAGTTGGGGCTGGACAAGCAAAGTATAAATATAGATATACCTGAAGACTACTCTAGTTGGGGCTGGACAAGCAAAGTATAAATATAGATATACCTGAAGACTACTCTAGATGGCTGGATAAGCAAAGTATAAATATAGATACCTGAAAACTACTCTAGTTGGCTGGACATCAATCGACAGAAAATGTGACCAAAGCTCGGGTTCATGACGCTAAAATAGAATGTACTATACCTTGAGAACCAGCGGCGCTGCCTAGGTTACTCGTTTAAGTACTCCCGATATTTGCCCGCACTTGGACACAAGAAAATTTTACCGGGAAACTAAATTTTGGGTAAAAAACTGACCCATTTAACTTAGAATCTCAAAACCAAACATTCCCGTGGATCGCCCGAGTTCAAAAGTGTGTGGAAACTCAGTTAAGCGGTTCCTAGTTATGTTCGGAGATTACAGAGATTACAACTTTATATATCATAACTCCTGCTATAGTGAAGAACAAAAATGTTTAATTTTTTTATTATGTGATATGATAAATTAGCTTTTTTCGTACTTGTGCGTAAAATCAAAGCTTATTAGGAGCTACGAAATCACAAAGTCGTAGTGGTAAATTTAACCACCTCCTTACTTATAGTTCACAGTGGAATATTTTAAATTTTCATATTTCATAATAAACGTGCTATAAAGTAATCATCGTTCTATAAAGTTAAATTAGCTGTACATTACAGCACGTGTGCTATAAAGTTTTGATTAGTTCCCGGATTTTCTCCAAAAAATTTAGGATATTTACAAAATAATTTTGAAATGAAAATAAAATTAAAATCAACTCTTTTTTACTTCTGCTTTGTTTCAAAGCTTATTTGATCTAAAGAAATAGCCATTGATAGAAGACAAGTACACAAACGTTTCATAAAATTACCTAAAAGACTATTATTTTGGCACGAAGTGCCATAAAGATTTCGGACTTAAATTTTTAGAATATATGTTGTCGCTTGCTAAAGCTTGGGACAAAATTAAATCTAAAAAGGCTTAAACCTTCTCGATAAAGAGAAAATTTCTGTCCAAAAACTTTATAACACTGCGAACCAAATAACAGTGGTATAAATAGTTATTCTGTATTTTTATATTCACGATCCTCTGCAACTGCAACTTTGAAAAATCATTAAATAAGCCAAAAAAATACTACATTTTAGACAGAAGACTTAACTTGAACTTGAAATTGTCATATTTTAAGAGCTTTCGGTCGTCTTTGCAGTTTCATCCTTTTGGGGTAACCCTGTATTGTCAAATTTAGACGACAATACTGATACGACTTAACTACCTCTTAGCTTCTCTAGTTTTGATATTACGCACAGTATTAGAAAACCAAATTCAAAGAAAGTCAAAACATTTTTGTTCTTCTCGTAGCACTTCCTTTAGAAAAGTTGTAAGTGAAAACATTTAAGATTTCAATCTTTTATGCAATTTACTTTAATCTGACGTGGAAATTATACACCTTCCAGTTTTGAGATTTATTTTAAAGGAAATATCGACGGAATTTCAACTGATTCTCAATGAAAAAAGATGCAGGTTCAATTCTCTACAGTACACGTTAGCCTCTATTTGAGTCATAATGAGAAAATTATTGTCATTTTCTTTCGCTTTGATAGCAAAACCTCAATCGAACAAAATCAATTCTTAGCTCGAAAAACAAGGGTTTCTCAATCACTCTTGAAACTGCGTCTAATAGAATTTAACCTGAAGAATATTCTCGAATAAAGCGCATAGACCAAGAATGGATTGGGGGTGAGAGGATATCTGATGAAGTCGGAACCAGAATCTGAAAAAAATATGAAAAAAATAAAAAAAACTTTAAATTGAACAATTGCATTTTTGCAATCTTTAATCTTAAAAAAAAATTAAAAAGTTCCAACAATGGAAATCAATTTTGAAAAAATTGGAACAAACCTTAACTCATAGTTTGACTATGGGCAATGTGTCTATAAATTTAACCGTAAACTAAACTTAATTTTATCAAAATTATATGTGAAGATAAAAATGTCAATCTACATAAAAAATAATTAGAGTTAAAAGTTTTAGAATACTGCATTGTAAACAAGGTTACAAACGATAAGAGGTTTTTTTTACAGCCTTTGACATTATAGAATGTGATAATCAGAATGATAATCAGAATGATAATCAGAATAATAATCAGAATGATAATCAGAATGATAATCAGAATGATAATCAGAATGATAATCAGAATGATAATCAGAATGATAATCAGAATGATAATCAGAATGATAATCAGAATGATAATCAGAATGATAATCAGAATGATAATCAGAATGATAATCAGAATGATTACCAAAATGAAAACCAAAAGGAAAGTAGTTTTAGATCTTAATCTTGATCTTTAACTGTTTACGATCTGAAAATTTTTGTTGTAAATACAGACTAAACGTCATAGAAATCAAAGACGACTTCATACAATTACTATACTGGAGGGTTTACCTAAGGTACATAGCTCTGAAGGCGAAGTACAACTGTACAGGGTCAGTGTATACGTAGGAGAAAGGTGCACAGAACATTGACATCCCATGGAACGGAATCACACCGCTAAAATATTAAATTGGAATAAAGCAACCCTTGATTATATTCTACATTGTTTATACAGTTGGACACACAAAGCTGTGAAAAAAGAAGAAGTCCAGATACGGCTGAACCTATAAAACCTATATTTAATTAGCAAGATTAAAAAGTATCGGCGTCGGTTCACTTTTAAATCAATTTGAGTAAATTTTAAAAACCAACCATAACAAAAATGCAAAATATTTTATAATATTTTTACCTGGGAGGGTATAGTACTTGGTTTTCACTGAGCCCTCCTCTACCTCTTAAAACTCCTTTGGGGGGATTAGCTGAACCGCAAGAGAACATTTCAGCAACCTGAGATAATATTTTTTAAATAAAAAATATTTCTTGGCAGAAATTTTTTTTCCATTGCAAATGATTGTTCTATTAACTTTTCTGATCTTAGTAATGTTAGTTGAGAAACAAATAAAATATTTTTATGTCCCATTGGAACATGAATGGAAAGTTCCGGTTTTACAAGAACTTTTAAATACAAGAATGAATAATTTATATGCTGAAGGATCGATTCGATGATTACGTAATAACTGATTTGATAAATATATTATGTAATGAATAATGATCCATGTAGCCTATTTGTACATAATTTTGCATATTTTTCTTTTTTCTTTTGTAAAGCTATATATTCAAAAATTTATTTAAACACATTTAAACTACACCATTTATGTATTTATATCTTTGTGTGTGAATAAATCTTTATAATAATAATATCACTTTTGTAATTAATTTACATGTAATTTTGGAAAGAGGAAATATGAACCTCAAAGGGACTGTTAACAATTTTCTGTTCTGAAAATATATAAATTTGATCAATGTCGTGCGTTGCCTTTCCTGCATAAAATCACAATTCTAAGTTCTTTATATTGCAGAGAACGTCAATTGCAAATTATCTTATTTCAGACAAAAAACTTTTATTTTGCTCAGAAAAAGGTAAAAATCGTACTGTTTGAAATATAAAGGGCCAGTGTACTTTACGTTAAAAGTCAATTTAAAAAAAAACATATGTTTCAACCAACCTGGGTATCTCTACTGAAACAAAGCATAGTTTTATAAACCATATCATCAAATATAAAATATTGATCATCATTTGCAGCATTCAACTCAATATCCTAAAAATAAACGTTAACCAATTCTCTCATACTGATATCAAAATATTAGAATGTTCGATACATCGAATAGTATTCGATTAAGTTCGAAAGTTCGAATTTTAAAAGTTTGAAAAGCATCATAGTTGTAAGTGTGTGGAAGACGACTTTTTGTTTTGAATAATCCAATTAACAAGAAACGCGGCAATTTGAGTGTGTCTAATCACTGTAAGCGTAATTTCAAGTGACCCTAAATGCAAAGATGACGATGCCTGATTTACAACAGTACTTCTAAAAGCTTTGTCTGATCAAGTATGAATTAGATATGCATGTTTTTTGTATTATATTATTAAACTGTTTTAACTATGGTTTCTTTATAACAGTGACTTGGGAAAATTCTTTCTTGTAAGAAACAATGTAGAAATTCACAGAAATAAACACATTTTGAGTAAATCGGGCATTGTCATCTTTGCATGGAATGTCACTTGAAACTACGCTTATAGTCCCGTATACCAATACATTTCAATTAACCAAATAGGTTGTCAAGTACAATAGACGGCAACACAGAATGCGTACACTTTCAGTACAGCTGTTTAAACGTCATAAGTGTCAACTCAAATTTTCTGGCTGACAAAACTATAAATAAAAGTGATATTTTTAGACTAAAGAGCTTATCTTTTAGTGAAATTAGTGCAATTTTATGTGTTCTTTATTTCTGTTTTCACACTTTTTCATTTAACGTTTTATAGACTTAATGACGGGGTTGAAACTGATTTTGTACATAACCTTTTAACATTGTAATTCGAAAGTATATCGTTAAAACACATTTCAGAAATGTTTAATGATATCTTTGGAGAAGTGCTCTGGAAAGGTCTAATTAAGGATAAACCCCCAGATCCAGGGGAAAAACAGGCAACAAGAAACGGTAATTTTCTAATGAAATGTCGTCTTCTAAGGATATTAAATTTTTTCTCAAATGTCGTATTTTACTATTTTTGGGAACACGTACGAAATATATAAAAATTTTCAAAAGTGCTTTAATTATGAAATTATTGGAAAGTCTATGTAGATATATATTATAAACAGGGTGTCCCAAACAAAAATTTGGAGTAGGGGTATTGGGTACTGAGGGAACAATTTTAAATTAAATGTTCACAATCATGTTAACATTCGAAATCTCGATTTGTCAGTTATTTCCAGGCATTCTTTTTATATCACAATCACTTCTTTAATTATGGAGTATGAACCGAAAAATTGATTTCCCAGATTTTTCAAATTTTGATTTTTTACATATATTCACTTGTTCATAAATAACCAAAAAATTCACAAATTTTCGTACATTTTATGTAAGTTATCTGTTGCAGCCAAAATGTTGGATCTGCAAATTGTTTTGTGAGACAAAATGTATATTATATTTAAATTTCGCAATATGGATGTCTGTGTGATTTGTTTTGATAAAAACGACATATTTTTTTATTTATTTTAAATCAAAGCCACCAAATGAAAGTAAAATACTCTATCTAATTTTGAGTTGTAAATATTTTTTATGTATTCCTACAAAGACGACATTTATCTTCACCGAATCTTGGAAATTTCATTTGACACATATGACGTTGTGCGCAGTTGGTCGATTTTTCTGTTGCCATCTATTGCACTTGACAACCTATTTGCAATTAACTTGTAAGCCTGGTGTAAACTAACACCAAATGTATAAATGTCGTCTTCTTAGTCCACTGTTTTATGGATTCCAAATCCCAATATCTGTTTCAAACATAGAAATCAAGAAAACTAATCTCTACCTTTATAATGAGTTTGTCCAACATAATATCTGTAGATATAACAGCTTCTCTCAATTCATTGTAGGTCACAATATCTTTCTCTATGATCTCGCATCCTAATACCTATACAAAAAATAGAAATATTGACAAAAGCTTGTAGAATGGTTATGGTGAATATGCAAACTAACTTTTATAATTCTTTTACTTTGAAACTTTAATCCAGTACTGAGGTACTCATAGATTAACCATTAAGAATGAGACTGTAAAAACTGTAAAAACTATAAAAACTGTAAAAACTGTAAAAACTGTAAAAACTGTAAAATTATGAGTTCTGCCTTGAATATTGTCTTTAATTGGGTTATAAAATGATTTATCAATGAAAACAAACAAGTGTACAGTTGCAAGGATTCATGAATTTCAGGAAATTCTGTACAGTCGTCGCTGATGCCCCATCCTTTGTGTGTAACCCTATATTAAAAATCTATATCTAAGGCGACATTTTTTCAAGATTTTTCCGAATACGACATTTAAAAATACCTGAGCCCATACACATCCTCTTAAACTGTGAGGACATCCTCTTTTCAAGTATTCCTTGGAAAATAAATCCAAATTAATTATACTGTCCCCATGACACTGTGGAATAGGAAGACGACATCGAAGCAATCTAATGCGTAGTTGATGTTTTGTAATGCAAATAATTTTACCGTGAAATTCGACTAGTGAATTTGCTACCAAAGTGAATAAATACTAAAGTGGAACAGACTAAGGAAACGACGACAGGTTGGGCGAGTTGGGCCATAAGGTTTTATTTGGTTTGGAAATAATTTCATGAAAAGATTTCGTTTGGAAAGTAAAGACTAGAAAAAATAGACTAAAGACCCATGTAAATGTCGTCTTCAGAAACAAATTCTAAGTCTGTGTTTGTAAACAAAGGGAGTCCAGCTTCTGTTGTACTGTACACTCCGTATACAGACTAATTTATATATATATATATATATATACATATTTCTAAATACTTGGGACATAAAATGTCGTCATCCAACTATGAGTTTGGTCCACTTTAGTATTTATTCACTTTGATTTGCTACAGGGTGTCCCACGAAACATGACAGTTTGTGAATTGAAATTTCTTCATCCATATATACAGTATAAAGTATTATAGACTTTTTTTGCAGTTTATTTTGTTTAAAAAATCTTTTAATCAATTTTATTTTACTTTGAAATCAATTTTACTATAATGTGGCTGGCATGACATTTTTTATTATACTAGGCTTTTAGGGCGCTTCGCGCCCACTTTCTATTTAAATTGTGAACAAAGAAGAGACAAATTTTGCGGATTTTTAAAAAAAAATTCGCGGATTTTCAAGAATTTAAATTTTTTTTACAAAATTGAAAACCTTTAAAACACATTTTTTTTAAATTTTTATCATTCATAAACCTTCCCTGTGGTCCCACAACAAATTTGGGCCTGATCGGTTCAGCCGTTTTGACGTTTAATGGATACAAACAAACAAACAGACAGACAGACACCCAGACAGACAAGCCAAATTTATATATAGATTCTCTTGGGGTTCAAACAACTTAACAAACTATGGAAGAAAAACAAACTTTTCACCAACTGTCATGTTTCGTGGGACACCCTATATGTCTCATGTTCATTTGACTCCTTGAGCCTCAAACTGAAAATTGTATGCACAAGCGTTGCTCCATTCGGCAACATTTTCCAGCGAATCAATCTATTCTATCATTCGTGGCTAATTAATAGAAATTGATAAAAAAAAAACTACGAGATTTTTAGGGGTTTAAATATTTAACTGATTTTAGCTTAAAGTTACGATTTAATTTAGGTCACTGGTGTTATTTCTTAAAGAGACAGACCGGCAGGTCTGTAAGGTACAGGGTGTCCCAAAAAACATGGGAATTCAGTGACGAATTGGATATCGTCTTTGTTATGAATTAGCATTGTAATACCTAATTTAAAAGCCATAATATTATTATGTCTGCTAGAGTTTATTTCATTAAAAGGGTAAAAGTCTGTAAAGATGTGTCTATAATGTCTCCGCTAGATGAACAGTGAAGACGGACAAGTTTACTCTGTTTGTAGACTGCAATTTTCTTGTTTTACTAAGTACACCCTTATGCAGTCAAAACATAAACAAACAAAATGTGAACATAGCAGACGAAACTCTTACAGATTACAGCTTTCTCAGTAGGTATCACTGTACTAAATCTAAGAATTATTTAAAAAGTCGATAATTAATTCGTCACTGAATTCCCATGTTTATTGGGACACCCTGTAGTTGAACTGAGTATTAAGTGTTGTAGACAAATTCTTTAGGATTCATTTATGAAATATAAAACTTTTTAAAGATCTGTAAATCCTGAGTTTAAGCGCAAAGTCGACGTTCAAAAACGTACTTTTGGGTGGATACGTTTTCAGAATTGTTTTTTTAATTATTAGATAACTACGACAAAAATGTATGAAAAATTCTACAGTAAACTAATTAGTTGTTTATGAACAGGTTGAAAAATTAAAAATTAATCTTTAATCAAAAATAATTAATCTTGTTCAATTATTAGTATCTATTTTCTCATTATTCTACAGGGTGTCCCAAAAAACATGGGAATTCAGTGACGAATTCGATATCGTCGTTGTTATGAATTAGCATTGTAATTCCTAATTTCAAAAGCCATAATATTATTATGTCTGCTAAAGTTTATTTAATGAAAAAGGTAAAAGACTGCAAAGATGTGTGTATAATGTCTCCGCAAGATGAACAGTGAAGACGGACAAGTTTACTCTGTTTGTACACTGTAATTTTCTTGTTTTACTAAGTACAACCGGTTGCAGTCAAAACATAAACAAACAAAACGTAAACATAGCAGACGAAACTCTTACAGATTACAGCTTTCTCAGTAGGTATCACTATACTAAATCAAAGAATTATCTGAAAAGACGATATCGAATTCGTCACTGAATTCCCATGTTTTTTGGGACACCCTGTAGTTTCTCATAATTCAAAAAGATTTTCTGGAATTATTATTGAAAAGACAACATTTCAAGAAATTGCAGAAATCTGCGAATAAATTCATAGAAAATAGGAAATTTAATGTAATAATGAAAGCGAAATAATTGTTTCTAGCATTGATTTATTGAGAAATTTCTTTTGAGAAATATGTTCCGAACCATCTAATTAGATTACTTTATAATTTTTACTTTATTTTTCGTCTTCCTCTAACCTTAACATTTAAGCTTATACTTTCCGTTCTTTAGTTATGGAATTAAACCTAAATATTTTTATATGTATATAAATGTATGTCTATCTATCTATCACCTGCGCTAATGGAGCATGATTCCTGTCTAGAACTTTAAGACCCAGCTGGTAGATCTCCTGCTCCAGCTGGTCAGCTCGACCATCAGGCTACAGTACAGTAAATTACAGTTTAGTACAGTACAGTAAAGTACAATACTGTACAGTACAGTACAGTACAGTACAGTACAGTACAGTACAGTACAGTACAGTACAGTACAGTACAGTACAGTACAGTACAGTACAGTACAGTACAGTACAGTACAGTACAGAACAGTACATTATACTACAGTACAGTACAGTACAGTAATATCGGTTTTTATTAAACACTAACAAATCGCATTAGTAGAAAGTTGTCCTGTTGAGTTATAAGCTTTAAAAATACCCATTTCTGGTTCACAACTTTACCTGTAATACGCCCAGGTTGGGTTGTGCCAGACTTAAGTCATGAAACTTCTCCGTTAAATCATTCAAATCAGCTGTTTCAAGCTGAATCTATAATTTTCAAAAGTTTTCATCTGAGCAAACAGAATTAACTGTGAAATTTTTCCAAGCTATGGCCTGAATTTATAATAAGTCAGGGGTTTCTAGTCAAATTTAGAGAGACCCAGGTGCAGCATAACAAAATAATTGATTTTTCAGTTTTAAAGTTTAGTACATATAACAGAATAAGATGTACAAAAATCTACAAAGTTCTATATTCATTTTTTGCAAGAATAACAAGAGGGTGTATTGCACTTTGAGATGTAGGCGTCAAATAACATTTCTAATAAACTTTTTTAAAAATATCCCTGACGAGGCCCTTCTTTTTAAATCCAGTGGCAGTTTATTCCATTTATTAAGAAGTGCATATGATGGAAGATATTCCAATGAGCCTGTATTCAGAATGTCAATTTGATAGTTAAGAGATCTCTCAAAATTCCCGAGCTTTTTAAAGTGTCGTTAAATGATAAGGGTGGAAGGTTAGAAGGTTAGATAGATATTTAGATAGATAGATAGAAAGTTAGATAGATGGATAGATAGATAGATAGATATATAGATAGATAAATAGATAGATAGATAGATATTTAGATATATAGATAGAAAGTTAGATAGATAGATAGATAGATAGATAGATAGATAGATAGATAGATAGATAGATAGATAGATAGATAGATAGATAGATAGATAGATGTGTACCTGGATTAGTCCGAAAGGTTGACCCATCCCCCTGGCTCCTTGAATATTCTGGTTGGGAGAATGCACCTGACTGATAACCTCCAGAAAATCCTTCACACATTTTTTTTGCATAAAGAACCGGCAAAATGTTTTTCAAAAATCTGTGCATTTTCTTTAAAAATTAAAAATTTTTAAATGTTTATGATTAAAAAAAACATGATAAATAACTTAACCTTAGATGAATAAACAGGACGAAATAAAGAAAGTTCTAATTCCAAAGCTGATAAATCCTCCCAATGACCTGACCATAAATATACATATATAGAGGAGAGCACAGGCAGCCGTAGTACATTTGAATTTCCGAGCCGGGTCAACCTTTCCGGTCCCAGTTTGTACCGTATCGCCCGGACATTGAGTAAATATAGCAGACACTTAAATGGACTAGCCATTGCAACAAGCAACGCGGTCATAATTTAGGTTAAATTTACTTTTACTAAAGGGTCAGAGGTGAGTGAGAGGTTGATATTTTTCTATTATTTATTACTTTTCTATATATTTAGTTTTCTTTTATAAATTCTTTTTTGCGGATTGGGCGCTTAATCGCGTTTAGATTAAAAGAGTCTGTTGTCGTTATCTAGCTCTGGGGTCACGGCTCTTTGATTTTTTATTTAACATTTTTTGTATGGAATTTTATTTTAAAAGGGAGAAAAAAAACAATAAATTAATTTTAATTATTGTGAAAGTTATCTATTTCAAAATTTAAGAATATTTACTTTCGAAGTTATACTTAGTACTTACTTATATATTCTTGCTGTTCCACCTAGAAACATAAAAAATGTTAATCAAGTTGATTTCATGTCATTTTTGATAATTAAATTTTTTAAGATTTGTACACAGGTTTCCAAAATAATGTTTTCATTTTGTAAATATTGTTTAAAAGGGGTAAAATTAACATGTTAATCATGATTTACTTAATATTAATGGTAAATATATTCAAATGTTCCAACTCCATTTTAAATTGGGGACCCCTGTAAATGCTACCTGGCAGCGTGGTTTAGCTAATGTTTGACCCAGCTCAATACACATTGAATTCAAGCTCTTCAAAACCCGTTTCTCCCATTGAGCCTAATTAAAACAAATACATACATTTATAAAACTCAGGCATCAGTAGTTTTCAAAGGAACTTTCAAGTCTCATCAATTAAGAATTATTTATAATATTATGATTTTGAAAACTGATTATTTCTAAATGTGGATTTTCTACAAAAATGTTTTGCGCATTTCTAATGCAGGAAATCATTATCAGAAATAAACACTTTTAACCTAGAAAAATAACAATATCTTCAAAATTATTGATCTATGCATAGAGGCTCACATGAAATTAACCTTACAGCCCCTTGAAGCCTTGCACTTGCTAGGCTTTTGCTCTTTTGGCAATCCCATGTCAAAAAATAAAACTTTCTTAAAATTTTAAAATTAAAAAGTTTATTTTTTTCAATTTAGAGATCTATAAGCTCTCTTTATGGTAGAGTATTGTTAAAAGGGTTTATTTTCTTACTAATGGAAAAAGTGTTTGTTAAAAAAGTAATTATATTTTTAGAAAATATTAAATACTTTAAAAATGACAGCTCAAACTTAAGGAGACTTTCATAATATGATGCAATTTTTTTCTGTCGCGTCGACTTTTTAAATATGTAGCGCTGTGATTAAAATATGTTGCATATTAGTCCACGTATTGACCAGATTTTTATTTTTCATTAAAACAGGTTTACGTCAGCTATAAGATGATGGTGGCCGCCGCATTGCAGATTATTAGGTGAAAAATGAAAATGTATTGAATATAAAGCTTTGTTACAGGAAACAAAAGTTTCAAACAGTTCATATTTTCCATAGTTTCCGAGCCAAAACGCAGTTTGGAATTGTCCTCCCCTGTGCTACCTGTATTTTTGCCACATAAGCCAATGGTTCCCTAAGTCTTCCAGTTGTTAATTCTTGAATCCATTTCTCCACACCCTTGCTTCGCATCAAATGATACACACAGTTTTTCAACCTGTAAATAAAAGTAATGTGGAACTTGGAAGTTGGACGTAATTTCTAGTTGTCATAATAATTATGGTAGTAATAATAATAAAAATGATAATGATAATAACAATAATAATAATAATAATAATAATAATAATAATAATCTATTTGATAAAGCTCTTCGCTCATATATATTTGTATGACTTAGAATAAAATTCGATTTTTTATTTCACGAACAACATCCAGCAGCTTAATCTTGTAGTAATTGTAAAAGTAACAAATTGTTAATAATACTTAGTTTCTATTCCTGATGAGCCAAGACATTTAAGAAATGTCGCTGGAAACTCTGATTCTGTAACAAGTGGAGACGAAACCAGTTTTTGTAATTCATCAACCAACTCAGGGTACACGTCCTGGGTCTAAAATACAGATGAGATTTTAAAAAGGTATTTTAACAGTTTTTTAGATATTATATATTATTAGTACAATTTATAATAAATTTTCTCGTCTTGTTCCTGCATTCTTGGCAATCTTAAACATTTTTTTAACAAGTTGCCAAAGGAATTGATTTTTGCAACAAACTCTAATTTTGTAATCCTTATATTTACAACCTCGTGGTGTTAAACTTTGATATTGCAAACTTAGATTATTTGATCTGACAGAACTCATAATTTGAAATATCTTAAGCCTTTATCTGTCGATGATTTTTTTGTTCAGATTCAATCAAAGTTTTATGCAGCTCTATTCCAAATGATTTACTGCTTTAGTACAGTGAAACCCTTAATAACGAATATATCGAAAGAATTCATCAAATGTCGTATTCTTCACTTTCTGATAATGGAATGTTGCAGATATTTAGCTTTTTAATTAAATGATTATATTTATATGAAACTCTTTCAAACTGTTCCCGCATATTCATGGCTATTTATTTATTTTCGCAAATACTGAAATTTACGAAATATCGTAAAAAAACTCATTGAAAAATTTTCAAGACGACATTTGATAAATTCTTCCGATGTATTCGTTACTCAGGGTTTCACTGTATGAAATTACCTCAATCTGTTCTGAGAGAAACTCTGAAATCATCTTATTATGTGAACTACTTGATGTCATTTTGTTCTAAAAATCCAAAACATTTGTGATTCTAAAAACCATTTTCATTGGTCTGTGAGTGTAATATATATCATGTTCTAAGAGACAATGATTTAAGTAAAAAGAATCGAGTTCTATAGCCACAATGTCAAATTTTCAGATTGCAAAAATTAAAAATGTGAAAATTTGAGTCTTTGGCAAAACAAAACCAGTTCTTAAATCTACTCTTATTTGTTGACATTGAGATTAAAAACCAATTCTTAAATCTACTCTCATTTACTGAAATTGAGATTAAAAGAACCAGTACGTAAGTCTACTCTCATTTACTGACATTGAGATTAAAAAAAACAGTTTTTAAATTTGCTCTCAGTTACTGACATTGAAATAAAAAAAACTAGTTCTTAAATCTACTCTCATTTACTGACATTTAGATTAAAAAACCAGTTCTTAAATCTACTCTTATTTACTGACATTTAGATAAAAAACCAGTTCTTAAATGTACTCTCATTTACTTACATTGAGATTAAAAAAACCAGTTCTTAAATCTACTCTCATTTACTAATATTGAGATTGAAAAACCAGTTCTTAAATGTACTCTCATTTACTTACATTGAGATTAAAAAAGCCAGTTCTTAAATCTACTCTCATTTACTAATATTGAGATTAAAAAACCAGTTCTTAAATCTAATCTCATTTACTAACATTGAGATAAAAAAAAACAGTTCTTAAATCTAATCTCATTTACTTACATTGATATAAAAAACAACAGTTTTTAAATCTACTTTCATTTACTTACATCAAGGGGTGTAATCTGTCGTCTTTGTAATAAGGACAGAGATCAGGGACAGAAGGGAATCGGTGTTAGGTATAGATCATGTAGTGACATACAGTACAAAGGAAAATACGGGTTGCGGCATCTGTTTATATACAGTGTACACAGCTCTGGGGTATGTAAACAGTAGACAGTAAATTTTGAGCATCATGCGATACTGTTCTGTGGTTAACTGTACCACAAATGGTTCTCATGTTGATATGAGAATCCACACTGTTCGTGAAGAATGGAAATCTTTGAGCTGTTGGAAAAATATTCCAACTTTTATCTGAACTCGTCATTTTACTCAAAACTCATACAGCAAATCAAAGAAGATACAATACAGGGTTACCCACAAAGGATGAGACTAAATGATGATCGACCTGAAACGATCCAAAGGTTGAAAACATCTGTATAATAAAACAAGACATTTGTATATATATATATATGTTGCGTATAGCCGGCCAAACGGCTGGATCGGTTGGGCTGAATTTTTTGGTGGACACTCATGGGTGCCCGGGGTTATTTCGATTTTTTTTGTTTTTAAATATTTTTACAATTTTTTTCCCACTGGCAACGCCGGGCCCTTCAGCTAGTAGTCTATAAATGGCAGAATAAATGGCCCAGAAATAAAAAGGTTTACGTAAGCTGCCGCAGATTATTTGTCGTCTTTTAAGTCTCATCCTGTGTGGGTAATCCTGTATAATACAGTGATAGCCAGAAAACTCTGAAATATCACTGTAGTTGTTTGTTTCATATATTCCTAGCTGAAGTGCTCGGCGTTGCCCGCGGAATTTTTTTAAAATATTTAAACAAATTTTTAGCCTATGACACCACACGGCCACCCATGAGTGCAGTTCATAGATTTATAAATAATGTAAAGTAATGTACTATCTGTTATACACTGTTAAAGTAAAATATATCGTTTATTGATAAAACACTGGAGAACCAAACTGGGGATGACGACCTCCTGAACATAGTTACCGCGAAGACGACATTCAAACACATATTTGCAGAATTGGGAAATTTTTTATTTCAAGTTTGGATATATTGTTGGTTACTATCAACCTATGTCCTTTGTACTATCAACTTTTTTAAAAAATGTTTCAGACACAATTTTACAAGATATTGACACCACTCTGTTTTCAGAGTGTTTAACTAAAAGGTTAAAATTTTGATAAGTTTGATAAAATAAAACGTAAAAGTTTCTTCTGAAAAAAATATACAGGGTTACCCACTTAAGATAAGACTTCGTGGACGACTTTACGGAGTTACTTAAGCCTTTTTTCTTATATTAATTGCTCCATCAAACAATAAATTTCTTTATTCTTTTACCAAATCACTAAATAGACCTTTTATCGACTTTATTAAATGTATAAGCCAAAACATACCTTTATATCAACTTATCTAATGAGTTTCAGGTCGTCATTATAGTATTATCTTTGTAAATAACCCTGTATTTTTTTTTACTATTTATAAGTTAAATAAAAAAAGTGAAAAACATCGATATTTATCATGAACAAATAAAAATACAATTCTTTAGCTGACATCCAAATATCCTAGAGAGCCAAGAGCTAAAATCATAAATTATTAATGAAATATATTGCTTATAGCTCTTGCAAGTTATAACATAAAAGCCCTGCCCCCCCCCCCCCGTATAATCCCCTCCTGTATGGATCTTAGAGCGGTATTCTCCCCTTTGATATCTAGATGTCCTGTTGTTTACTCTGTCAATGGATATATGCAAGGGATCTACTAGTGATGGGCATAGTTGTAGTTTAGTTTTAGACGTTTAAGGGAACTTTGGAGGGTTGTGATTTAAAGTTATCTTCTATTTCAAGAGAGGTTTATCTATTTCAAGAGAGGTTTATCTATTTCAGGAGAGGTTTATCTATTTCATGAGAGGTTTATCTATTTCAAGTGAGGTTTATCTATTTCAAGAGAGGTTTATCTATTTCAAAAGAGGTTTGTCTATTTCAAGAGAGGTTTATCTTTTTCAAGTGAGGTTTATCTATTTCAAGTGAGGTTTATCTATTTCAAGAGAGGTTTATCTATTTCAAAAGAGGTTTATCTGATTTACAACGGTACCATTTAAACCTTTCATTTACCAATGATGTGGAAGGTATCGTCGTTTTTCTACTTTAAAATTGATTAATTTGTTCAAAATAATCAGTTAATCTCTTTAAATGAATTATGAATTTGTTTTAAAAGCATTGGTTACGAATTTTACCATTTTTACAATTTTTACAATTTTTACAATTTTTACAATTTTTACAATTTTTACAATCTTTACAATTTTCACAATTTTTACAATTTTTACAATTTTAACAATTTTTACAATCTTACAATTTTAATAATTTTTACAATTTTTACAATCTTAAAATTTTAATAATTTTTACAATTTTTACAATTTTTACAAGTTTTAAAAATGTCTTTGTCGTTTTGATAAATAGTTTTTGCGTTTATCTTTTATAATTTGAAATTTTGCAAAAAGGCATTGCACACAAATACTAATCATCATAATCCCTGTAATTTTACAACCTGATGGTTGTAGACCTTTTATATTTCAAACTGATAATTCTGCCAATATCTTAATATTGGAATTTTAAACGATTAGTTTGAAAAGAAGAAGAAGGTGAAATAATGTGACATCACTGGTACGTTTTGTGACCTTGTAGCTCCTCTAGGTTTGATTTTCCGTAAAACTTTACAAGTATGAAGCAAAAAATTTATCCGGATTCAAGAAATTCAAAATATTTTGTTCTTTGTAATTTCCGTACAATTAACCTTAGTATGACGTGATAGGAGTTTTAAAAAAAACCCTTCTCGTAAAAAATGTATGGCCATCTCTATGAGATACATCACGAATATTAATAAAACAAGAACAAAGTAAGAATACTATATTTTGCAATTATCATAATAATAATCATAATAACAAATAGAAAAATTATTTTCATTACTGAAAGAAAGGAAACAACGGAACTGGCCGAAGGAAAGGAGTGGGAGGGGGCGACGAAAGAAAGGAGGAGGGGAAAGGGAGATATTACCTTTTTTTGACACGATATTATATTATAAAATTGCAGATTATACTGCGCATACAAATATTGCACAAAAATCTTTATTTTATAACCATTTTTATTTTCGCAAAGATAACGTTTTAAATTTTTTTTAAAAATAAAACATCATTTTTGCCCATTACATCTTTAAAACTTAAAAACTTAAAATTTTAATTATGTTAAGGCTACAAAAATATATATGCGTAGATTAGTAAAATCAAAGTTCAAGGTGTTGTGACACTTGAAAGTCGGTCCATCTTGTTGAAATTTAAGGAACTTTTCTCGTAGTCTGAATATATATGCAACTGGATGCTTTAATATATATTATTTGAATTTTACTCAACTTTCAAAAATTCAAAAGAACTGGGTTTACTTTAAGATTCTTCTGCATAATATATTTCTAGGTTTGTGAAGAAATTAATGGAATAAAGTAATAAAAAACAGTTTAATACGTTCTATATTTAATATACTTTATTTTATATTTCCCTCCATTACTGGAATTTGACAAATATCCCTCCTCTCTCACTGACTATAGGGGGGCATCGTCGATATTTATTTAACGCATATTCTAGTTTTTTTTCTTTTCAAGGTTTTAGAGAATGAAGGGGAAAGTAAAATTTTTGCAGTATTTCTGGTGCAACTTTGATACCACGTAACTCCTTTAGATTTTGATTTTTTGCACAAGTATAAGAGCAGCAAATTTTTGACGTTACATTTAAGTAATAGGTCTTCAATACCATTATATTAATCTCCATAGAAGAGGGTGTTTTATTTTATGTACGTACTGCAGTAACGTTTTACCGTCTGTAGAATGTATGCATACCGTAAAAAACTTGTTACAGCTGCCTAAATATTGGTACGGTATTTTAGTTTAACGTAACTCTCTTTCTTTTGTTTCGTTTTGCAACATTTTTACTCTCAATAAAGACATAGAAAAAATTCAACCGTTTTTCACAAGGTAAAGTGTGAACCAAATCTTTGGAAAAGGTAGACGACATAATATAAATACTTTTGTATTTTTTGTTGTTGTTGCGAAACAAATTCTTTTTCTAGTAAACTATGTTTGTGTCTCATTTGTTCATTGGACTATTTAAAGTTAAAGCTTATGGCTTAAGTCGTCTTCATGTTCCAGAGATGTATAGTTCGCACTCTAATC